TATCTATGATTTGATTTCTCCACAGAGTTATTTTTCTCGATGGTGACTCTTCTGTTAGTATCTCTGACATCTTTAAGAAGCTTTTCCTTAACTTAAGGTGAAAAGTGGGCATGTTTAGTCCAAAAATTGGGTATCTCTTATCATTTGTTTTTTTTTTCCTTATCTATATACCTACGTATATTGAGAGGTGCAACACCTGCTAATAGATAAACTTTCTCTACCGATGTATTTTTAAGGCATCCTGTTATAATGCGGCAGCTATTGTTTAATACCACATTTAACTTAATCTGGTAGTTATTAAGATTAGAAATTGACTACAAAATACTTAAAGGTAATTATAACAATATATTTAAGTGACAAAAGAAGGAAAAAAACACACTGAGTACCATCTAAGGTCAAACAAAATAAATAAAAAGTCATATTACTAGATGTTCATGGTGGTGGTCGGATCGGTTTGGACGCAAAGGTTGCTATTAGCTAATTATTTTTTGACAGTTTCAGCAAAACGACACGACACGGATTCATCCGATTATCGAGAGTTGCCTCCTAGCGGTTGTTTTTGAGATTAATCATTTTAGTTTTATTGACCGTTATCTCTTCGCAGTGTTTCCTTGTACGGTGGAATTTTGTCGTTTTAAAATTTACAGAGCAGTCCGTTCCAGATTCGAACGTCGTGCCGAGAGAGAGATGAGTGGTGATAGGTTCGTGTTGACCGTAAACTGTGTATTTGCGCGCGGGGGTGAAGGGAAAACAAAACAAATATCATACACCGTACTCCGTTCATACGTTTCGTAGCAATAGTATATATACAGGGTGTATCAGAAAAGGCTGACCAACTCTACGGATTGTGACTCTTTATGTGGCTATAAGAATTGTTTCTTTGGAATTTTTGTTTTCTTATCAAAACTTTGGTTTTACCCGTTTTATTTGTAAAATACCCATACAAAATAAAAATAAACCATTTCAGAGAATTTATCGCAAAGTTCTCTTACGACATAAGGGGTCATTCGATTTTTTCCAAAAATAATCATTATCACCGCTATTTTTGGCTTATCCAAAATCGTAATTTTTGTGTGACACATGAATTTGTATGTAAATTTGTCAGGAATTTCAATGGAATAAATTATTTTTTTATTTAAGAGTCAATTTAACGGTCCTATCCGTAAAAGACGACTCATTTGACTGTAAAAACATTAAAAAAATGCATAAATTTAGTTGTTTTTATTGAATTGTTTTATAATTAATTATTATCAGATAATAAAGAAATAATATTTAAAGTAAATGTTCAATACGATCATAATCCTGCTCCTTCATGTACCCCTATAGAAAAAAACTGCATGGGTTGAAGTCAGGATTTCGGGTTGGCCATATTATATCTGAATGAATTAAAGCATTCCAATAATGCGACCAAGAAATAAATAATGGAGTTGCTCTCTGACCTCTATCGTATGATGAGGTGGGGCTTCATCTAACATGAACCACATTGTTTCCTGTTCTTCATTAGGAATATTTTCAAATAGTACGGGTAAAGTCTACATAAGACAATTTTGAAACTTGCGTCCATTTAACCTAGGTCGTAAAACATGAGGTCCCAACAAATAATTTTCAATAATACCGCACCAAATATTTATATTAAATTTGTACTGTGATCTTCTTATTCGTATAGCATGTGAATTTTCTTCAGCCCATAAATGAGAATTATGCTGGTTGAAAAAAGCATTTCCGATTACTTGGATTTTTCACAACACTTATAATATGAGTAACCTTTGAAACTAAATTTGATTTTTCTTAAGATAACCTATACATGTTTCAAATGCAAATTGCCTTCCGGATGATTTGACTGAAAATGTTGAACTAAAAATAACTAAATTTATTAACTGAAAATAATAAACGTAATATTTTCGTAAATTTGCTCGTTTTTCTACGTTTTATTTTTAGTTTTTCACAATTGTTTAAGGTACTACAAAGGAAATCAAAAAACAACTTTAAAAACTACTCATCAAGTAGATACAAAATTCAACAAAACATACTTCTTTTCGTTTATCTATTAAAACAAAATTTCTGGTGGAAAATATCGTGTGTACAAATTTAGAATAATAAAATCGTACACCATAATTATATTTGTTTTTCAATTTTCGTCTTTTTTAGGTTTTCCGAATTATTGTGAGTACTAGAAACTAAGAAAATTAAAAAAGACTTAATCCATTATTAACCAGACTGAAAATGTAATAAAATTGGTCCGAATTTAAAATGAGGTTACACTTGTATTCGGATGAAAGAAAATAGCTTAATATACAGTAGACAATTTGAATTTAGGAAAAAACGTCAAGTAAAAAATGACAAAGGTGAAATACGACAAGGTAAAAACATGTCAAATGTATTTCACTTAAAAATCACAGACATTAGTTTTAAGTCAATTAAAAACAATAAAAAAAAAAAAAAAAATCATAAATATCTTGTAATATTCTATAGCTAATAAAAACTTTGATATATCTTTTTGTATACTCGTATTCTTCACGTAATTTTTTTTGTTTATTCTATTATTCTAAATAAATTTTTATTTTATTTTTTTACAGATCATGCACAAACGAACTTTCGGATTTCTGTATATATTTATAAATAATATATATAACACACCCTCTTCCTCGAAAAAAAACTAAAGTGACTAAAATAAATATTGATATATTCTTAGGTAGAATACATGCAGGTATTTAATTTTAATCTATAAGAAACGATAAACCATTGCTAACCGAAAGTGATTCGGAGCGAAGTTCGGTGATACATATTTTGAAAGACCATAATCAAAGCCCTACCGGAAGGCATTAGGGGGTTTCAGCTCCGTGTCTGACATAATAAAAGGGCCCTTCATATTAATTTGGTTTTGAAATTCTGATTAAATTAGTTATTAATAACACTTTTTATTAAGATAAAGTAGGGAAATCGTGTATTTTGAAAAAAATCAATGAATTAACAACAAACATCTTACCTTACACTGATGATAAGGAAAAACGGGTAAGAAAAACATAATTCCCAAGTGATACAGTTGAAAATAATTCAAATAACTGTAAAATAATAATAAAAAAATGATTAGATAAAGGGGACGGGTACCGCCACTGGTATATGTGGGAAGTTTGAAAGTAAGATCAGACGGATATTTAATGAATTTATGCATGAAACGATAAACCATTACTCACGAAAAAACGATTTTGAATGGAGTTCAGGTAATAGCGATGCTTTGTCAATATACTATGCCATATTATAGTAAAATGATTAAATAAGCAGTATATATTTTCTTTAATAACATTTGCTTACTGTTGAATCGATTTCCCTGGTTTTTCTACATTTGCTCAGTTTTTCGTATTTGCTAAAATAACTCTAAAGGAAAATGGAAAGACGACCCCTTTGAAGTACCTCCTCAGTGATATTTCCTTTCAGAATCATTGCTATTATATAATGTTGGTGCAGAATAATTGGTAGAAAAGTTATCCACAGAAAAAAAAATCTTTGTAAAACTATAAGCTTCATCGCTTAACTCAGAATCTAAAAAATGAACATACTTTCCAAAGAAAAAGCAATTTATATCACAACATTTTAACCTTTTTGAACATTTTTTTAAAAACTCTCACAAAAATTTACACAACATTACATGATAAATGATTAACGATGATGAATTTTCTAAATCATATTGTATGTACAATATATTTATTGAGAATTATGAAAAAAATCCATTGCATTTTGTACATGTAAGGGTAGGTATCATATCCGTGTTAAATTTCGTCACTTTATATATTTAGGTTAATAATCTATGATCGAAAAATGTTTAGAACATACATAAAACAATAAAATATTTTACGAGAATTCACGAAAACAGAAAAAAAAAATATAAAAATTGTACAAAAAGATCTGTTAGCAGAGCGTGGTTTCGATCCACGGACCTCTGGGTTATGGGCCCAGTGCGCTTCCACTGCGCCACACTGCTAGTTAAGTATTACGGTCTTAAACCTGGTAAATATATTACGTATTTTACCCTTAAAATACAAAATTTTTAGCCTAAGTTTGGCTCATTACAGTGAACTAATAATAAATAATACTGTAGAAGATCTCAAGGGTAATATTCATAAATACGAAAAAGTTGAAGCCATGGCTGGTGGTCTAACTAATCAATCACCACTAGAAACAACTGAGTAAATATTTAAAGAACAAATTTACAAAATGAACGAATCAATAAAAACATTAAAAGAAAATAATGAAAAACTAACGAAAGATTTACAAAATTCCACTATCATCGAAAATATTAATAAAATTACTAACCAATTTAATGATAAATTTAATATTCTTAGCAAACGGCTGAAGTCACAGAACACTCCACAACCTAAAAACACTTAATATTTCAGAAATAACAATAACCATACACGGTACAATTTTCCTCTACAACAAAAGCTATTTAAACAAAATAATTTCAAATTTCAAACACCTATTATTCAATGCAAAAACTGTAAATTATATAATCACACAATGTAAACTTGTCGTTTTCCTAGAAATCCACCGATATTTCAATTATGCAGTAGAATAGTGGTCTTCAACCGGTGGGTCGCGACCCAAAAATGGGTCGCGATAAGTCCTTTTCTTAAAATGTAAATTAAATTTATAAAACTATATAAGGTGAAACAAAAATAATAATAATATAATATTATACTGGTATGATTCTACGTAGTAAGATATTGAGATAAGAATTTATGATTAAATTGAATAAACTGTGTTATTAATAGAATTAATATGCATTGCTATCGTTAGAGTACCATAATCGGCATAATCTACGAATATTATCGATATTATTAATGTTGTTGTTGTGTACTAGCTGTCTGAGAAGTAGGTATTATAAATGTAAGTCACGTTATTATTCTAGTGACTAGAATCTAGTCGTATTTACGTATCCGTTAAAACATTTTTTTTCGTTTATTTTGCCAAATTTGCATTAATATATTTTGTTATTTAATAAAATGGATAAATTCGTAATTCGGAAAAGTGGTCAAATTAATACACACGAAGACATGCCAACGTTATCACAGGTACCTTCAACTTCAAACGCAGAGGAAAACTCTCACAAAAGAAAGAAATCCGAATTTATTGGTCGAAGGTATAATGAAAATTATTTAAAATTTGGATTTTGTGCTTTTAATATGGGAGATTTAGTTCAACCACAATGTGTAGTCTGTGGAGAACTGCTCGCAAATGAAAGTTTAAAACCATCAAAACTAAAAAGGCATTAAGATACAAAACATCCAAATTTAAAAGAAAAACCCATAGAGTATTTCGAATCATTAAAACCTAACTTTCATAAAAATCAAAAAATCATAAAAAAATATTCATCAGTTTCGCAGTCGGCTTTAAAAGCATCGTTTTTAGTCTCGTATAGAATTAAAAAATGTTTGAAACCATATACTGTCGGGGAAGGACTAATATTACCTGCTGCTATTGAAATGTATACGGAAATGATAAATGAAAAAGTTGCAAACCAATTAAAAAATATTCCTCTTTTTGATACTACAGTCGCTAGACGTATATCACTTATTAGTAATAATTTAAAATTGCAACTTTTGTCTCGTTTAACAGGTAAATTCTCTTTACAACTTGACGAGATCACCGATATTGCAAATGAAGCGATTTTGCTTACATATGTTAGGTATTTTTATAACAACAAAATCCACGAGGAACTCGTCAAAACTAGAAACTAGAAAAATATTTTTGACACGTCAGTAAACTTTTTTTCTAACAATAATGTAGATTTAAAAAATTGTATTTCTATAACAACTGATGGGGCAGCTGCTATGACTGGAAAACACGTTGGACTAATAAAATTAGTAAAAGACATTGTTCCAAGTTTAAATAAATAATACGCGATAATGCGCGTAAAAACAAATTAGAATCATTATGGTTAGGCCCATTCGAGGTGATTGAAGTAGTTAGTAATGAAAATATAACTATACAGCGCGGAAGAAAAAATGTAACTGTACACAAAAATGATGTAAAGAATTATTATAATGATAAAATAACTTAAACAAATAAATAAATAAATAGAATAATAATAAATAAAATATATAATTAAGTTAAGAAATATTGTAGGTATAAGGAAAAAAAAAATTAAAAGTAAAATTTAAAAAAATAAATAAATATATAAATAAAATATGTACAAAATAAAGCCTGAAAATATTAATAGTAAAATAATATTGTCAAATATGTACATAGAACTATGTTAGCAATATAAAATAAAAAAATAAAAACCAAATAGTAGAGACGCGAGAAGGGTCAATGTCAAGGACAACGACCGACGGCGGCGTGAGCACCGCACGCTAGATTAGGTAACAACGATAAAATATTTATGGATATAATACAGTCCGCATTATTTGAACGCATTAGACTTATAGTATATAGATCGCGCATTAGTGAAATATATTGAAGCCAATATATGTGCGAGAGAGACAGACTCTGGTGTTACTTTTTCAAGATGGTTATAAACAATTTCATAATATTCTGGTAATATTTAATTAATTATTGATAACGCTCGCTATCATCAAGACATAATAAAATTCAAAATTTTAATTATTTTGTATATCAATTTCGTTATCTTTTTTTATAATGTGGTGGGTTTCGCGCCACATTTCTTTCTTCCCGCTGCGCGTCGCTCGTGGCGGACGTCGGCCACGCCCCTCGCCGTCGGCGTTCAACGGTCATCGTCCAAAGCTCCGTTCGACTCGACGTCTCGACCTGTCCGCTCGCTCTCTCTCCGCACCGACGCCATACGCGAAGCGTTGTTCTCCGATTCCGAATTATTTTTATGTATAATTGATTTTTACCACTAATGTTGTTTTAATTATTACGTGCTCGCCTTTTCTTCCGTCAAAAGCCGTCAGCTGGCGATCACTTGTATTATGTTTTTATGTTGTAAATAAACGTTTCTTTTTTTACTTTATCATAAACCTCGTGTCTTTGTGTAACCCGCCAAAATGTAAATATTTATAATCTCAAAGATTATTGTATATATTTTGTATGAACTCTTAAATAAACTCTTAAAATAGCAAACCGCACGGAACAAACTGTAGAAACATACGAACTATTAATAGATTAGAAATAGGTGAGGAAATATAAGTTTTATAACAATAATAACGAATAAATGAGAATTAAATTATATGGACCGAGCAGTATGGATAAGAAATTTGAACGATACCGTTAGGGAAGGCGTATTTATCAATATTAAATCGTCAAATATAATGTAACTTCAATTGTTTGACCGCAAGAAATCAAGTATAAGGGTGAGTAAAATTCAATTGCATAGGTATTATTTGATATTATCATATTGTGTAAAATTAATTCGTAAACTTCGGTAAAAATAAATATTACGTTATTGGTTTGCGTATTAAATCGAGCTAATAACGTTAAAATTTTTGTTGTGTTTTATGTTCTAATTTGAAAAAATAAGATAAAAATCGTAATAGAATTAAATATTATAAGAATATTGCTATTTTATGTAATTCCGCAGTAGGTAGACTTCAGTTGTTTTATAAAACTATCTATTACTTTATATAAATAATTTACGGCCCTAAATCCGGATGAACGTGTAAAAGCATATAAATACATCTGAAATGTTAAATCCGGCAACGTCGGGTCGTTGGCAGGATGGTATTGATTTTATTAAAGGGGATGGGTTTCTATGGAAACGATAACGATCTCCCTCCAATACGCGCGGTCACCCTTATAATTACAACCTAGGGGAGACTAGATGTATAAATTATAAACTCTTATCAACATTTCCCGTAACATTCCTACATTTTCGTACATTGCCTGTTAAAATATCGAATTTCTTTTTTCATCCAATGAATTATCCGCGCTCTTTACAATAAATATTGAAAAGCAGGACCGTCGTGCGTGATCTTAAGTGTGACTTTAGCTGGACTACAACAGATATTTCGATCAAAGAAAGTTGTTTCTGTTCTTTTCAACTATTGCGTTTCAAAAAAAATTAAAAAATTAAATTGTATAAAGTTCTCTGTTTCATCAGCATGTAAATTATTTTACACGCAATATTTTACGAATGCGATATATGTAGAAGAATAATAATATATATTAAATGTTTTACAGTAAAGCCCGATCCACATTAGCCATCAATATCAGCTCAGATAAAAGCCCAAGTAAAATTCATACCTCCAGTCACCATTAAATAAATGAAATCCTGGTGTAGTGTTATGCCAAGACTATTGTGAGTAAAACGTTTTTAAATAAACCATTGTGAAATGCTCAAAAAAATTTCATTGCAAATAAGACTTTAGAAATAAATTTTACCATACATAATATGTTCTTTTAAAATTAAAACAATAATTTGTTTTTTTTTTTAAATCTACTGGTTTATGAGGTAATACTAAAAACTCACAACTCCAATGAATGTGATAACAAATGACGTAGTGTTATGATAATATTATTGTGAGTAAACTATCATAATTGTTCACAGAAAAAAATAATGCCGAAATATTTTTCAACTAATAGATAACTACTTTTGTACATTTTTCGTTTATTTGTTCGTTTTTATTTCGTATTTAATGTTTTACAGTTAAGCCCGATCCACATAAGGCGTCAAGATCTGTTTAGAAAAGACCAAAGCAAAATGTACACCTCCAGCCCTGTGAAGCAAATGAAATTCTGATGTAGTGTTACAACAACATAATTGTGAGTAAAATGTTATTTGAATTAACCATCGTAAAATACTCTACAAAATAGTATTGCAAAAAATGATAATCTTGTTTTTCATTTAATACTTTTGTAATAATCCAAGAATTCTAATACAATTCTTAAAAATCTACAAATTAGGTTTGTTTGGATTCTTAATTAACCTTTGATTAACCTTTTAATCCTATAATATATTATGCCCATTTAGACACTTTTTCTTAATATTTTCCAATTTTTTTGCTTCATTGTTAGTAATGATTTTAATTAATTTAGTGGTGCTTTCATTTCTAATATTATCATCATTATTTTTATTATTATATTATCATTCTTATTCATCATCATTTTGAAGTTTTTTCGTTTTCCTAAATCTCTAATAGTATAATTATTATTTCTTCTATATTATTTGTCTCTTGCATTTTTCACATAGTATAGTCTAGGTGATTTTGTTTTCTTTACTATCTCTACCCACAACAGCACGATTATGTATTTGGATAGTAAATAGGATCCCTGTAATCAACCTAAATGTATCCTAGAATTTTGGAGGAACCATAAGACATTCTTCAATGATCCTAATGTTCGCTTATTAAAATCCTCTGTTCGTCCCACACAAGATTGATGATATTACTACCTCTCACACTATATTGTCATAATTCTTAATCACTCATATTATTATAAAAATGTAAAAATAATTATTAACACATTAACATTTTGTTCTAGAAAAATTTAAAATACCATCATTTGCACCTATTAAAAATAAATATAAAAATTATAAATATATGAATAAAAAAATTATTTTGCATTTCGTTTAAAGCGTGTCTAAGCTAACTCTGAATTGACGAATCAATATCAATATATGTATTCATGCTCAAAGTAATCTGACTCATTTCTGAAAATATTAATTAGTGTAAACTAATATTAGAATACTGTGCATAACTAAAATTAAATTGACGACACATTTAAAAATATATGCGAATAATAGCAAACAAATATAGTATAATCATAGTCTGTCATTGAAAAGAAAACAAACATCCATACAAAAAAAAAAAGAACCAATCCATATGTTGCTTCATAAGTTAATAAATATCTCTGATTTTTTTTATTATGATAGTCCTATAGAAAACTAACTTCTAAAATATGATTTACTTTAATAACTACAAAACTATTTCTTAGAAAGTAGGTTACATATTTTTCTAAGCCGAAGTGGTGATATGTGCTAGGATTGTATAATAGTACAATACAAAATTTTTTAAAACAACTATGTTTTTTGTGTACATTTTTAAGATTACTTAAAGGGTTTTATTATCTTTTATTTTATGGCGTATTGCGGTAATTCTTTTAATTATTCATCAATTTTTGACATTACAGTTAATGATATTTTAATTTATTATAGGTGGGACAATTTTATGATGTATCACTCATTGGTCAATATAATAGGAAGAAGGTTTTTTGTGTTAATTTCTTGTTGCGAATCAAGTGTATTTATAATCACGATCCACATAAGCCGTGATGATCTGCTCAGAAGAAGGCAAAAGAAAAATGCACGCTTCCAGTCACCATGAAACAAATGAAATCCTGGTGTAGTGCTAGGACAATATTATTGTGAGTAAAACGTGATTCGCATGAACCATCGTAAAATGCTTTAAAAAATATCATTGCAAATAATACTTTAGAAATTAATTTTACCATACATAATATGTTCTTTTAAAATTAAAATAATAATTTGTTTATAGATTCTGAGAGGAGTGATGAAGCTTATGGTTTTATAAAGATGTTCATTTTCTTTTTCTGTGGACAACTTTTCTACCAGAGGACTTGCTCCGATTTCTATGTGTCGTACCTTTTCTAAAATAAAATCAACGTAGGGAGTTAGCTTAAACAGGTCATTTTCCGGTTTTCTCACTAAATGTGAAAAGTGAAAAATCATGGGAAAACAGTGAAAAATGTAGGAAAACTGGAGAAATCGGTACAACATTAAACAAAAAATTATTAAAGAAAATATATAAAGCCCATTTAATTATTTTACTAATATAGGGCATATATATTGTTGACAAAAAATCACTATCAACTGAACTTTGTTCAGAATCGTTTTTGTAAGCAATGGTTTATAGTTGCTTATAGGTACACATCAAATTACCTATAACAGGAGCTGCACTGTTTCCATTATTCTAGGAGATATATATTTTTTTTAATTTACTGATTTATGAAGTAGTTACTAATTAATTAAACTTTATTACAAAGTAAAATATAAAAAAATGTCCTAGGATATTCGAGGGTGGAGAGGGGTCAGCCACTGTCATAGGTAAGTTAATGTATACCTGTAAGCAACAATAAACGATTGTTAATAAAAAAACGATTCTGAGCAGAGTTTAGTTGATATTGATACAATATATATATATTATATAATTATTAAATAGGCATTACATATTTTCATTAATAATTTTTGTTTAATGTACTGATTTTTCTGTTTTTCTGGTTTTTTCCTATTTGTTGATAAAAATCTTTGGGAAATCAAAAAATACTTTCGCAGTCTATTTCCTTTTAGAAAAGTTGTTACAATTAAAAATCGGAGCAATATTTTTGATAGAAAAGTTGCACACAGATAAAAAAATAATAAAATAAACATCTCTATAAAACCATAGGTTTCTTCGATCCACTCAGAATCTAAAATTAAACAGTAAACAAGTATTTTCTTTTGAATTTGTATCATTCATTTTATATTCTATACTTTTGTAATATTCTAATTACAATAGTTCTAAATTTAAAATCTTTAATAATATTAATTCATATTGTAAGAAGGTGCTTCACATATAATATGATAAAATCCTATTGTAATATTTCGTTTTACAAGATTGTAACATTCAGTATAAATTTTCTAATAATCAACCAAAATGCTTCTAAGTTAAATAAACTAATTTTTTTTTTTTTTTTGGGGGGGTTTTGCGGCCTTTAAGACCATCCCTTAAAACAAATTTCCCTCCACCTTGTTCTGTTTTCAGCTATTTCTCTCCAGTTTGCTCTTGGGTCTACTTCTTTTACTTCTCTCTTCCCACAGTCTTCCCATCTGAGGCGTGGTCTGCCTAGTGGTCTTTTTCCTTTCGGATCCTCTTTAATTGTTGTACTTATCATAGCGTCTTTTTTCCTCCAAGCATGACCTGCCCACATCAGTCTTCTTTTTGCGATTTCCTTTGAAATACTTGGTCTTTGGAACAAGTTATATACTTCCTCATTGGTTCGAATTCTCCATTCTTTGGTTCCTGTGTCGAGACAAGGTCCATAAATTCGTCTTACAACTATTTTTTCAAAGGTGTCCAATCTTATTTCCTCTATCTTTCTTGAAGCCCATGTTTCTGATCCATATAGGATGACGGGGCATATTAATGTCATATATATTTTTATTTTTAAATTTAGAGATATTGATCTAGATTTTAGCAGTTTAGAGATATTGATCTAGATTTTAGCAGGGTTCCCAAACTAGATTTTAGCAGGGTTCCCAAACCAAAAAAACAGTTGTTGGCCAGTTGTATCCTTTTTGAAATCTCTACTTTTAACTCATTGACCTGAGTTAAGAGGACACCTAAGTATTTAAATTGTGAAACGCTGTGGAATATATGTCCATCTACATTCATTAAAAAGGATTGGAGATAATGCATCCCCTTACCTAACCAGTTGTTACTTTGAACGATTTAGATGTAGAGCTCGCTATTTTTATTTTTATTTCAGAATTTTCCATAGTCGCTTTAATCAGGTTAATTAACTTTCTTGGCATATTGAACTATTTTAATATATTAAATAGTGTTGGTCTATGTATGGAGTCTTATGCTTTCTCAAAGTCCACAAACAAGGTATAGACATCCTTATCAAACTGCCACATTTTTTGTAATATCTGCCTTATAATAAATATTTGATCTGTAGTGGATCTATTTGGTCTAAAACCCCCTTGGTAGTCCAAACCAGTAACCCTTCGGAGATTGGTTTAATTCTATCTAGGATGCAGTACGATAATACTTTGTATGTTGTATTGTAGAGCAATGCCCCTATAATTATTGCACTCGAGTGGATCGTTTTTTTTTATATATCAGACACACTAATGCGGTTTTTTCGGGATTTTTTCTTCTTTCCATACTAATTCTACTAGGTTATGCATATTGGATATGGTTTCTTCATCTAAACTCTTTAGAATCTCAGCCTGGATTCCATCTTCACCCGGAGTCTTATGATTTTTTAGCCTCTTAATTTGTTCTGTTATCTCAATTCTGTCTGGTGGGAGGTATTCGATTTCGTTTGGTTCTACTTCAGTCCAAGTGAATGAGTTTATAGGCTCGTCACAATTAAGGAGGTTCTCGAAGTAATCTTTCCATTTATCGAAGATATCGTTTGGGTCTGTAATCAATGTACCATCGCTATTTTTTAAGAACTTTTCTTGTTTCTTGAATCCTGTTCTAAGGGCATTGATATTTTTGAATAGTTGACGTGACCTATTCAATTTTTGGTATTCTTCTGTTTCTTCTAGCATGTTCTTCATGTACCTTCTCTTTTCGTATCTGATTATATTGTTTACTTCTTTTTTGCATATTATGTAGTTATTTTATTTTTCTACATTGTCTGTGTTGCTAAGCCACTGTATTCTACTTTCTTTTTTCCGTCTTAGGGCTCTCCTACATGTATCGTTAAACCATGGTTTATTCGATTTCTTTTGTTTTCCTATTACAGCATCCTTAGCTTTATTCCACCTTTCATCTACTGAGACTATGCTGTTAAAGTCGCAGTTATTAAAATCTTGACGTATTTTTTGTCTGAAGGTATTTGCACATTTTGGGTCATCCAGTTTTGTTACATCATATCTGGTTAGTTGTTCCAAATTTGTATGAGCGCGTCTTTTGAGTTTTATTTTCATTTTTCCTTTTATGAGATAGTGATCTGAGTCCTAGTCTGCTTCTCTTATCGATCTGACATTGTGGATGTCAATTTTATATCTTGAATTGACCAGAATATGGTATGGTCTATTTGGTTAGTATATCTTCCATCTGGTGACCTCCATGTCCCTTTATGAATATTTTTATGTGCCATGTAACATGAGAAATTTACTAGACCATTCCCGGTTGCCAAGTCAATTAGTTTAAGTCTAAGTTTAAATCTACTAGTTTAAACTGTGTTTTCCTGCCACTTGTCTGAACATTGTTTCTTTCCCAACTTTGGCGTTTAGATCTCCTAGAACAATTTGTATCCTATTGCTAGGAATCGAGTTCAGTGAACTTTCCAATTGTTCATAAAACGTTTCTTTCTCATCTTGGGATTTGTCCTCCGTTGGGGCATGTACATTCATGAAGCTTATATCGAACCATTGTGCTTCTATTGTTAACATGCTTATTCTAGGGTTAATATCTTTGAATTCTTTTACTACAGGGACTAAATCTTTGTGCACCGCAAAACCTGTTCCTAATTGACGTTGATCAGTACAGCTACCATAGAAGATAGTTGTCTCGTTTATATTTATCGTCCCTGTGTTGGCCCATCTAATTTCTTGTAATGCTGTTAATTTGACTTTATATTTTTCAACTTCATTCACTATGTTGTGAACTGCTCCAGATTTAAATAGTGTGCGTACGTTCCAGGTTCCGAAAGATGAGTCCTTTTTCCATTTTCCAGTCAATTTTCCAAAAACTCTGTCCCGAGGCAAATTTGCTTGATCCTGAACATGTTGTTTTTTACTAGGTAGGATTGTTAACCCTACGCTAAACCCCCTACCAGGAGGACCAGACCACACCAACTAGTTAGTCAGTGTGGGGTTATTGCAGTACACAATGTTGTGTACTGGGCAATGGGTGCGCCACTTTCCCTATGCCATAAAATAAAACTAATACTCATAACAATTTTTTTAACAAATTCTTTGTAAATTAGGTTTGTCTGGATTCTTAATTAAACTATCATACTTTGATATATTATGCCCATTCAGAGTTTCTTACTTATTATTTTCTACTATTTTTGCTACATTGTGAATATTAATTTTAAATAACTTGATGGAGCTTTGATTTCTATTAATGTCATCATTAATTTTTATTATATTAGTATCAATCATATTTGTCATCATTATGAAATTTAAATTTGTCATAAATTTCTAATAATATAATTATTATTTCTTCTCAACTATTTGCATCCTGCATTTTTCACATGGTATGGCTAGTGTCATATATATCCCTCCCTTAAATCGGGAAACTATGTTTTTGGGCAGTAAATGAGATCCCTATAATCATCCTGTACATATCCTAAGATTTGGAGGAACAATCTGCTATATATCCTAAGACATTTGAATGATCCTAATGTCCACCCATATTAAAATTCTTTGAACATTCCATATGCAATTGATAATATTGATAACTATTGTACATTTTTCTTATCCTATAAATAACCGGTTAGCAATGTGTATTGTTACTATTTATTCTAAACAATCAAATTTTGAAAACTGTATTGAAAATAAAATAAAAATACAGAATATAAAATTGATGTACTAAGTATACCCATTAAAATATTAAAATATAACTAAATGATAGTGTCAAATTGATAATGAGAAATTACAATTTGATCAATTTATTAAACAATGTAAAAAACATAACAATATAAAATATTAGGCTGTTAAAGTGATGTAAAAAGACAATTTCAGACAGAAAATAAAAGGATTTGGATAATAACTGCAAATAACTGAATAACTCCAATATTGTAAAAGACTTATCAAATATCCATTGAAAATATAACTATATTCTACAGAAAAGAGAAAATATTGCTATTTCATAAAATCAAATTAATACTATCATGGATATATCACTTTACAAAAACATCCCATAATAAGCTTGAATAAATTTGTACTGATAGAGATTTCATTCTATTTTTTATCAAACTATTAAATAAAAAAAGTTTTTCAATTTTCATTTAAGTTTTTCAAAAAATTCATCTTCTTTGGGTCAAGTGGTTTTATTGTAACAATGTTTTTGATACAAAATTTATACATAATACAAATTTCGTTTTATTCCTTCAAACGATTTGCGCTTAGAACAATAAATACAAAAAGCAGTGTGTGCATCAGTTTGTTGTAATCCATCTATTCAGACAAAAGCAATTTGTTTTTGTTATTTTGATATGGGTTTAAAAAAGAAATTTCTTTTATTAGTTGTTCATTGTACGGATAAGACAATATTATTTCAAATTGCCAATGATTGGAAAAATCTTTGAACTCTTGTGAGCCATAGGGTTTGTTATTGCAGGTATGCGTTTGAGAATTCCAAACCTAATGTACACTACGTTTATTCAAGCAATAACTGATTTGATTAGGTTGATTTATATTTTTATTTCAACACCTATAATCTCCTAGGACAATTATTCATCGTTAAATGATAATATTACTGCCATATATTTCTGTACTATCAACATATAATTTTTGTGATAAATAACTTGGTATCTTATGGTGTTTTAACAGTATTTTGATTTTTTTGAAAGTAAATTTTTTATAATATTCAAATTTTCTTTAGTCATTTCGTTTGAAACACCACACGGGGCTATGAAAAAAAACAAAAAAAAAAATTGTTTACATATTTGCAACTTTTCCCTTATAACCCAATGTGCCTAATAAATATTTTGTTTAAAATTTCTGCTATGCAAAGTGGCTGCATATAAATATTTACCAGAACAGTACTCTATATTCAAGTTATAAATCATTAAATATATCATCTCCATTTTTTAAATTCTATTATTCGGTATTTTATTTAACACTTAAGGCATTATGTGAATCAAAGGGTGATGGTTTGATTGTGAGGTGATTACTTTCTGTTCATAAATATGTCTATGGAAATGTATAGATGATAATTCAATCGCAGGCATCTCTTTTTAAATTTGGGCAAATCTCTTTTCGGTTATACCTAAACATTTAGATGCATAATACATCGGTCTTATTTCTGGGACGGACAACACCCGATATACTTCTGTGACTCACTCATTACGTTTATTTCTGAACTTATTCATTGAATCCTAATAACTGGTGAAAAAAGAAACGTTACTTGGGAAATTATGTCCAACATCAATGAAAAGAAATGTCCATTTCACAATATAATTTTGGCTCCTACTATGACCAAAGAGTTACTGCGATCGTTTAATCGAGTAGATGTTAATCGTATTTGATAACACGTCATTTTTAGAGAATTTATTAAATATCTGTGTTTTTCAATTGTGTGACGCGGGCATTGGGAGTTACACTCTTCATGAGAAAGTATGAATTTCATACTATTTAAAAAATTTTCTATTTAATAGATATTAGGTTTTTAACTATGTGATCAATTTTATCTAACTATTTCTCAAATTGTGTTATAATTTCAACGATATTTAAATGATTAAAACAATGCTCGTGATTGTCTTTATTTATTTCGTATTTTGATACAGAAAGATAACAGCTAAACAGTTTATAAAAAAATATTGAAAATTACATGAATGCAGTTTTTATTAATTCTTTTAGGTTCGGATCATAACGAAAGATCTATTGATTTCAACATGATGTGTATTTTATTTTTTCACTCTGTTAAAAAAAACTTTTGGACCAGAAATTTTACGAAAATTCATAAATGGTATCTTATTAATAATTTTGGAACTAGTTATTACAGTAGGAGGATAATTATTTTTAAACCATTTTTGTTATTAAAACATTCTTCTCGTTCTCTCCCTCTCCTTTGTCCTCACTCTCTGTCACTCTCCCTACGCTTACGACGTTTAGGGTCACCCGGACGTATTGGATTATAACCACCCTTCGGCGCACGATTGAGGCGGGAAGCAAACTGAGCCCCCGCCACGTGTTTATAGGTGCTTTCCAGAGCGTACGTGAACGGTCGTCAGTCTTCCGGTGACCGTCGTATTTGCCCGATGTTAGTAGTTTCGTTCGCCTTTAATCGTGTTTCAAATAATTTTAAATTTCCTAGGCAATAATCAATTCGCGTATTTATTAATATTAAATCGTCAGGTATAACGTAGCTGCAATTGATTGACCGCAAGCCATGTAGCCAACTATAATGGTGAGTAAATTCCATGTAAATTTTATGATTTTATCGTATTGCATAAAAATGAATTCGTTAACTGCGATGAACATTGGTTTTCCTGTTATTGTATTTTTTTGCAATCAATCGATTCAAAAACGCGAACTTTTATATTGAGTTTTACACTCTTTCGATTTGACGAAACAAGATGAAAATCTTAATAGAATGCAATATTATAGGAATAATGATGTTTTATGTGTTTGCGCAATAGGTAGAGTTCAGTGGTTTTGTTAAAACTATCTGGTATTCTATGGAAACAAACTATTGCCATAAATCCTTGTGAACGTGTAAAAGCATAGTAAAAATTTAAAAATATCTGAAACGTAAAATCTGACAACGTCGAGTCGTCGGCAGGAGGTTATTGATGTGTAAAGAGGGCGCGTTTCCATGGAAACGCTTTCGACGACCCTCTCATTCGCGCGGTCTCCGAACATTCCCGACGTAGGGGAGAATACGTTAACACAAACGCAGAACTCTAACCAACGCACCCTCGTAGAACCTGTCCCGTTACAATAACGAATATTCGTTTTACTCCTTCGAACTATTCGCGCTCGTTACAATAAATACAAAAATCAGAGCCGGCGTGCGTGTGCTTCGGGTTGTTGTAGTCCATCTATTTAGACAAAAGGAATTTGTTTGTGTAATTTTGATTTGGGTTTAAAAAACAAATTTATTCTAATAAATGGTATAAGATATTCTATTTATTTGTATGAAAATTCATACGCACGTAATATTATAATCGTGTTATCTATAGAATATAATAATATATAATAATTGTTTTACAGTCAAGCCCGATCCGTTAATGCCGTGAAGATCCGCTCAGAAGGAGGCAAAAGAAAAATGCACGCTTCCAGTCACCGTGAAGCAAATGAAATCCCCGGTGCAGTGCTAGGACAATATTATTGTGAGTAAAACGTGATTCGCATGAACCATCTTAAAATGATCTAAATAATATCATTACAAATCTTTCTAACAAACATACTGGGCTCATTTTATCCAGAATTAAAAATTTCATTATTTTAAATTATTTGTTTATAAGGTAATTAATAATAAATATTATTTAAAAAGAAAGCAAAAGAAAAAATTTCAACGGTAATCCATCATATCCTTTCGAATCCGAATAACCGATTAAAAATTACGACAAAATAATTTAAGATTATCTCAAAATTTACATTTAAGTTTGAGTAATAAAAATTTCATTATTTTAAATTATTTGTTTATAAGGTAATTAATAATAAATATTATTTAAAAAGAAAGCAAAAGAAAAAATTTCAACGGAATCCATCATATCCTTTCGAATCCGAATAACCGATTAAAAATTACGACAAAATAATTTAAGATTATCTCAAAATTTACATTTAAGTTTGAGTAATATTGTTTTTAAATTTTACACTCTCGTAATAACCCACCGATACTAATACGATTCTTAAAAGTCTACAATTTTGATTTGTTCGGATTCTTAACTATTAAGGTTTTATTCATTGATATATTATGCTCATTCAGACTACTTTTCTGAAAACTTTCCACTTTGTTTTCGTGATAGTTACTAGTGTTTAAAAGCTACTTACTTGAGTATTTGTTTCTTTAACAATCATAATTTTGTTTGTTTATTGATTTATCATTCATATCTATCACCCCTGTTATACATTTTCCTTTAGTCCTAAATTTCTAGTTATATAATTATTATTTCGTCCCTTCTTTATCTCTCCGGCATTTTTTACATAGTATGAACTAGGCGATATTGTTTTCTGTACTATCTCCTCTTCATTCGATTATGTTTTAAAATCAATATACAACATAACATTCTCACCGTTTGTATACTGTGTCTCTTCGTGTCGTGTTGCATACCATGGTTTTTGATTCTTTCCCTGTAGGTAAATTTCTCCAGGACAAATTATTGTTTTTAGCACTGAAAAATGTGAGTCCATGAAATTGGTTGGTGGTCACAGTACTCCTAAACCACCGCAGGCCTAATCTTATAATCGAACGTGTAAAATAAGATATTTTTTGTTCACTATCATTACTATTTCTACGGATTGTCTGGCAATCTATTATTTGTCCATTGTACGGATAAGACAATATTATTTCAAATTGCCAATGATTGGAAAAATCTTTGAACTCTTGTGAGCCATAGGGTTTGTTATTGCAGGTATGCGTTTGAGAATTCCAAACCTAATGTACACTACGTTTATTCAAGCAATAACTGATTTGATTAGGTTGATTTATATTTTTATTTCAACACCTATAATCTCCTAGGACAATTATTCATCGTTAAATGATAATATTACTGCCATATATTTCTGTACTATCAACATATAATTTTTGTGATAAATAACTTGGTATCTTATGGTGTTTTAACAGTATTTTGATTTTTTTGAAAGTAAATTTTTTATAATATTCAAATTTTCTTTAGTCATTTCGTTTGAAACACCACACGGGGCTATGAAAAAAAACAAAAAAAAAAATTGTTTACATATTTGCAACTTTTCCCTTATAACCCAATGTGCCTAATAAATATTTTGTTTAAAATTTCTGCTATGCAAAGTGGCTGCATATAAATATTTACCAGAACAGTACTCTATATTCAAGTTATAAATCATTAAATATATCATCTCCATTTTTTAAATTCTATTATTCGGTNGAATTCGTCTGGCCAGCGAAATCGAAAACACGACTAGAGTTAATATTCATTGTATGTATATATTAATCACTATAGTTGTAAGGAAAATAATGTTGTATATAATGATTATGTAAAATATTATACTTGTATGTACGACGTAGTTTGAGTTATAAGAAAAAAATTGTGTTTCGTACAACCCCCACGTGGCGTAGGGAATTTGGCGCTCCCATCGCCCGGTACACTGCCAGGTGTATCGCAATAGCCCCACAATTTCGTTAATTCCGTTGATGTGGACTGGCCCTCCAGGTTGGGGGTTGAGAGTCGGACCAACGACCCGATCTCGTAAAAAAAGAATAGTTAAGAAACCGAAAAAACTTTCAGAAACAGACTAAAAATGTCAACCAACCAGTGTCGAACAAGTGTATACGTCGTATATTAACATAGACTTCTAGAACTTTGAACAATACAGCTGCTCTGCATAACGTTCAAGATGTTATAAATAACTATAATATCGACACATAAATATTGCAATCGATAAGATGGGTATATATTGCCGATGACTTGAGAAAGGCAATAAACTACCATCCTAAGCAGTGCAACCAATAGAAAACATAAGACTACAAAAGAAAGACTACAAAATGTGCAAATTGTCTCGGCGGTTGACGACAGAATCTGCTGTATCCGCAAAGGAGGGAAAACATGAGATGGAATTTCTATAAACTGTTACGTTTAACGGAAGAAAAATGCGAACATATAAAGAGGAGAAAATTTAAGAATACCTAGAAAGAATATAATAGAGATTTATCACTTTACATTGTATTGCCTATATAAATATAAATAATAATGATAACGTTGGGAAAGTGCTCACAAATTTATATTTATGTCCATACCGTACGCCCCTACCTTCTTCAATCGCCGATCCAATATCAAAACAATTGTACTGTATGAACATTTTGAGATGACAAACTAACATTGGACTTACATTATAATGATAATTTTTTACGTCACATACTACCAAGACTGTATATTTTGATTTTGAGTAATGTATTTGTCCGGGGCAGAGAACGTCTTTCCGCCTAACGTGTTCAAAGGCGTACGCTAACTTTCGTAATGTCGCTTTAAAAAGTTTGGATGAAGGGCGCTTCAACCAACGTCTTCTTCGTCATCGACATGTGTTTTTACCGCTATTCTGGTGAGCAAAATATCATACATGTTACTGTGATAGGACCGAATAATTATTCGTATTAACACAGCGGTAGAATCAAGTGTTTCATTGATGATTTACGTTAAATTTTGTTTTGGGTGATTTTAGAAAATCCGTAGAAATGTATTAATTTTTTTTCCATCACTAGTAATGATATATTAACAAAATGTTGCATGCTATTATTTAAGTCGAATTCATGATTTTTTTACTAACCATATGACGGATATTATTGTTTACGTAGTTTGTACGCAGCTTACAAGGCCGTATTTTGTCATTTAGGACGGTGTTTCTACGGGAATAGAATTCATTGAACTCGTGTTATTAGTACAACACGCTGGTGATTTTCGTACACGTAGATGCAAAATTAAAATATTACGCTACGAGCATCACCAGTCGTGTTTTGCGTTAATCTAAAACTTCGAACATGTTCGGCAGACCAGCACTTTAATCGTCGTCATCGTAATCTATTTGATATTTTTACCGGTGCATCATACAGTGGCGTACCCAGGGAAACACTTGAGCTTCTCCCTTCTCTATTGTCAAGTTTGAAAGTTATAAATAACTCTGACATTTTAAATACGTCTTTATAGCATTTCAAGAGATAAAAAAAAAATGTCAATTTTCTTACTACATAATTGTATAGAGTTAAGACGATGCTAATCTCACATAGTAACTACAAAATAATGATAATATAGATAAGTTCCGGTGCTACCAAGGATCCATCGTACAATTTCCCAGAAAATCGATATTTTATAGAAAATTTGGCATATATGTTATCTAACCGTTTTTACGAACATCGGGCATAAAAACTATTCGTAATGCAAAACATAACACTTATCATATTATAGACACTGCGTATTCGCACTATCAACCGAAATAGATAAACATTTTAAGAAATAGTGTTCTTTTCAAAAGTCCATACATCATCGATTTAGATTTTTCGCTGCTTAAATCGATATAAATAATTTTCACTTATTATGTTAGTTTTTCTAAATGTTTTCGTAGTAATATCCTGGATACGCCATTGATTTTTGAATTTCCGGCTTGTAAATGTGATCGTATCGAATTCGTCTGGCCAGCGAAATCGAAAACACGACTAGAGTTAATATTCATTGTATATATATATTAATCACTATAGTTGTAAGGAAAATAATGTTGTATATAATGATTATGTAAAATATTATACTTGTATGTACGACGTAGTTTGAGTTATAAGAAAAAAATTGTGTTTCGTACAACCCCCACGTGGCGTAGGGAATTTGGCGCTCCCATCGCCCGGTACACTGCCAGGTGTATCGCAATAGCCCCACAATTTCGTTAATTCCGTTGATGTGGACTGGCCCTCCAGGTTGGGGGTTGAGAGTCGGACCAACGACCCGATCTCGTAAAAAAAGAATAGTTAAGAAACCGAAAAAACTTTCAGAAACAGACTAAAAATGTCAACCAACCAGTGTCGAACAAGTGTATACGTCGTATATTAACATAGGCTTCTAGAACTTTGAACAATACAGCTGCTCTGCATAACGTTCAAGATGTTATAAATAACTATAATATCGACACATAAATATTGCAATCGATAAGATGGGTATATATTGCCGATGACTTGAGAAAGGCAATAAACTACCATCCTAAGCAGTGCAACCAATAGAAAACATAAGACTACAAAAGAAAGACTACAAAATGTGAAAATTGTCTCGGCGTTTGACGACGGAATCCGTTGTAGCCGCATAAGAGGGAAAACATGGTAGGGAATTTCTGTAAAATGTTACGTCTAACGGAAGAAAAATGCGAACATATAAAGAGGAGAAAATTTAAGAATACCTAGAAAGAATATAAATAGAGATTTACAACGCTTCAAAACGTTTGGATGATGGTCGCTTCAAACAACGTCTTCATCGTCGTCGACCTGTATTTTTACCGCTATCCGGGTGAGTAAAATATCATACATTTTACTGTGATAGGACCGAATAATTATTCGTCTCACAATTTTCATTTCTGTACCTAGTATGTAACAATTATATAATGCGTATTTAAAATGTTTTCTTCTTTTTTTTTTTAAATTTGTATGGGGGAGTCGGTGCTGTACCTTCTCGTGGTCTCCCCCGTGAGTAGAGCATTTTAGAAAAATGTTATTAATTTTTCTCACATTGTGACTTTAACAATGATTGCTCGAAACGAAACAGCACCAAACTGTCAACAAAATGGTTTTCGTCTCCCTGGCTATATCATGCCGTTCTGAAGAATAGTAGTCAGCTGGTTTTTCTGAGTTTTTGTGACGTTATTTGATTTGTCAGCTTGTGTATTTGATGTATTGTTGAGCGTCGACTTCCAAAACCAGTGTTAATGTAAGGAATGATATTTTGCGCTTTAAGTATTTGTCTTATCCTATTGAGTATATATGTTTTAAACGATTTGGCCAAAGTTTGTACTAGAAAAAATGGCAAATATGAGGAGACTAAATTCATTAGCATACTTAGTTTTGGGATGAGTATTATAATGGATAGTTTCCATGTAACTGGAAAATTCGCTATTCTTAGCTTGTAGTTGAATATGTAAGTAAATAAAACAAGAGGTTTTGTTTAGAATTTCGTTTGATATTGAGTCGTAGCCTGGTGTCTTACGTATTTTTATTCGTTTTATTAAAAATTGTATTTCATTTGTTGGGGTGAATTTTTCGGGAAGTTGAACAGAAAAGGAACTTTCAAGAAATTGATTGATTGTGTTAGAGTTTATTAAGGTCAGGTAAAGTATCGGGATGTGACTTTGAAGCCTTAAGTAATTGCTCGCCAAACAGGAGGGCTTTATCTCTGTCCGAAACAGCTAGGTAACCACTGGGACTAGGAAGTGGGTTTCCGTTGATAAGGCGCTATCAGTTTTTTTTTTTTTTTTTTTTTTTTCCCAGTAAAATATTGAGTTGTATAGATTTTTTTTGTTTTAGACTGTTTGTGTTCCAAAGTACTCTCAGGAATATGAGCTCTCCGAATCTTATTTCACCCATCCATCGAGATGTGTTAAATGCGCCGCCAACCATTCAACTTCCGCCTGTACAAAAACTCAAGACCAACCATCAGTGTATGGAAATCATAAGGCCAACTACCGAGGATAACAAATCCACAAAGGACTTCAATGGCTCAATCGAGGTAAAACAATTCCAAAAACATTACTACAACACCAAATGTAAGTTTCGACTAAAATTAAATAAGGGGGGACAACCCTTTGAAAAACACTAGGTAAGCTTCCGAATATAAACAACTTTACATCATTTTCCAATCCAATCCAAAATATAACCAATTAATTACTCAAAAAAAAGACGTGAACTCTTCAAACATTTAACCAAACGATTCTGAAAAAGCTTCGCAGATATCTTCATTGATATCAGAAAACAAATCAATTTTAAATACTCTCATTTTATTCCTCACTACCGTTATTATTAAACTATTGAAGATGAAAAATAACCTACCTGGCGTAAATAAATTAAAAATTATACTTTGGAATGCCAATGGCCTAAAACAAAACAAAACTGTACTACTCAATATTTATTAGAAAGAAACATTGATTCCGCCTTATCAACGAAAATTCACTGCAAACCAAATACTAAACTTAATTTTTATATTCACATTCCAATCAAAAATATTCAACCTATTTCCCTAGTCTTCCAGCAATAACTTCACAACAACTCGAACATTTCCATCAATAACCCTGGACAACAACTCTTGGTGGGCGAAGACTTCAATTCTAATCATTTCCAATGTGAATGTATTTCTGTTAACCCAAGGGGTAGGGTACTCCACACAATTTACTTTTTCTAAGGTTTCTGATGGTAATCTGTAAGGATCTGAGTTGGTTATGTGGACTTTCAAATTGGTAATTGTTAATTTAATGATAAAATCACTTGCGCTGACCAATTTTATAGAATGTGAACGATGTGCAGTATAATCCAATAATCTACGAACAAAAATAGGAGGTGGGGGTTTAATTTTTATTTGTTTATTATTTTCAATATCTAAATTGATTCCAATATGTTTGCGTCGATGTTTTCGGTATCGACATTTTTGTCCTCAAATACGGTGTATCTATTTGAGGATGTTAATATAGGTTTGTTTTATCAGACGTTTCAGTTGACGAGTCTTTGTGTTGAAGAAAACTGGCGTTTAATTTTGGATTTAGTTGTGGCTTATTTGAAATCGTCATTTTCATTTTTGTTCGAACCCCCGAACATGTCATATGGCAAGCTCTGTAGACGTTTATACTATGCATTTATTTTATGTATAATGTAAGCGTTGATATTTTTATTAATATTGTTTCCGGTATTAAAATAATTTTATGAATTATTCATTACGCGTTATAGGAACGTGATAATACAGGCAAGACAGCTGCTGGTGGCCGGCCCGCGAGCCGAGGGATCGGTGTTGTAATACGTGTTATATAAGAATAATTATGAATGCCAGTTTTTTGCAACTGTTTGGTTTTACTTTTTCGGGGGGTCCTTTTAAGAGATCTGCACGATGACCACTTTTTTCTGTTGCTTCCTAAAATAAAAAATTTCGTTACGATCGGTTAAGGGTGATGAAAGAAAGAAAAAATGGGCGAATTGGGAAAAATCCTCTGAAATAATACAAAACAATATTTCTTTAAAGCTCTATCCTTAAACAGTTAAAAAAAATCTAAATTGCATGTACAGACCTTACATCATCTATACGATCTTCAAAACATAAATCATTCTATCTAATAAGCCAGGCAAATCAACGACGCTTGGCAAACAAGTGTTATCCGAGCATATAACAAATGTTAATTCACAAAAACGTCGTACCCGCTCACAGTACCAAAAATATCGATAACCTTTAGATAAACAAACATTAAATCGTCTATCAAACATCCTTAGAAAACAAATACCTAAATAAAAATCGAAATGTTTCGAAACAATATACCAACTTTTTAAAACTTAAGACCGTTCATTTTGAAAAACTACAAAATGTTTATTAATCAAAAATGAACAACTCCCACTTAATAATCCCAATGATTACCTAGCAGTTTTTGACAAAGATAAAGCCCTCCTGTTTTGGCGAGCAATTACTTTAGGATTCAATTTCACATCCCGGTATTTTACTTGACCTTGAAAATATCTAACATAATCAATCAATTTCTAGATATTTCCTTCTCAGCTCAACTTCCCGAAAAACTCACTTCAACAAATGAAATACAATTTTTAATAAAACAAATAAAAAAACGTAAGACACCAGGCTACGACTCAATATCAAACGAAATTCTAAACAAAACCCCTTGTTTTATTTACTTACATATTCAACTGCAAGCTAAGAATAGCGAATTTTTCTGTTTTATGGAAACTATTCATTGTTATACTCATCCCAAAACTAAGTATACTAAAGAATTTAGTTTCCTCATATTTGCCAATTTGTCTAGTACAAAATTTTGCCAAATCGTTTAAAAAATATATGCTCAATAGGATAAGACTAATACTTCGAGTGCAAAATATCATTTCTTGCATTAACATTGGTTTTGAACTCGACGCTCCACACCACTTCAAATACACATGATAAAAAATCAAATATCGTCCTCATTTGAAAAAAAAAAAAAAACACCAATGTTTGTGTATTGTTAGATGTATCACAAATGTTTGTCAGGAAGATTTGCTTTACAATGTTAAAATATTTCTACCTGCCCCACAATACTTATTAATAAAATCCTACCTCGAAAATCGCACCTTCCTGGTTCGACAATTCAAATCTTATTCTTCCTATTTCTATATACTATCCGGTGTGTTTCCGAATAGTGTCATCTTACCTGTCCTATATGATTTTTTACTGCTCACATGCCAAACTAAAGAAATATAATTTTTGTCACACATGCCGTTGATACTGTAATTTTATTTCCCGGAAGTGATGCAATTCAAACCGCTATTTCGTTACAAAATCATTTAAATCTATTTGAAATCCGGGCATCAAATGGCGAATTAAATTCAATCCCGATAAATCGGTTCATGTCAATTTCACTCTGAAAAGGTTCAATGCCTGTCTTTATATTTTTAAGGAACACATATTCCTACTTCCTCGGAAGTGAAATACCTAAGTACTACTCTTGATAAAAGGCTTACCGGATGCTCTCACCTAAAAGCTAAAAGAAAAAAAACTTAACAGTCGATTACATTTCCATCGGCCAATCTTGAAATCAAAAATAACAAAAAATAACTGGTGACCTCCCACGAATTTATTTGCATCCATCCGTGAAAGATAAATATTCAACTCTGGCCCTCGCCTATCCAAATTTCCAGGTCACCGCACCCGACGATTTGCTGTTAGGCGTGGTTCTANCCTTTTTAAAAAGTGTTATCATTTACGTGCGTGTACCACGCAATGGGATTTATTATTGTCGTTTTATTTTTAGGCACTTAAAATTAACTTGAAAACCGTAATTGACCGCGCATAAATTAGGTGACGTCTCCTAACCTTGTAGCTGCATTCAAATTATTTTTATCACTCCGTGTTTGCAAATTAGGGCGTCGTGATAATGTCAAAACGCATTTGACAAGAAAACAATATTGGATGTCGGCGTAGTGTAGTTATTTATCGTATACGAACAATTAGGTTATTTAACAAAAAATGACGGTGCACAAGCGCTTAATTCCTAATAATACGCGGGTATACAGAGTAAAATGCTTTTCCCGTCATCGATCTCCCTTGGCGCCCACAACATAGTGGCTCACCCGCGATGCAGAATATATCTTAATAATCGCTTTTTACATTACATATGAAAAAAAAAGCCGGAAGTCACCTATGACATATCATTAAATACAAATAAAATATATGACGTATACTCAAAAATCAAAAGTCCTTCGTTTCGGGGTACGACGACATGAAATAAACCGGAAACCGCCTTGAAGAATCGTTTCGCGGTCCGAAAACATATTGTAGACGGAAGAGATTATACATGGTGAATATTTTTATGGCCGAAACAGCAAGCGGTCCCCATTGTGGAATGAAAAAATACATTATAATATATATATTAATGTTTACAACCGAATGTCTGCTGCCAATACTATTGTTACTACTGCAGGCCCAGCCGTTATTCTAAAACACTCGACTCTGCGGAAAAAAAACATAAAATTAATAATAATAATATTATTATCTGTGTTGCGTTTTTGTTTACTCGGTTTCGTTTACTATACGGAACTCATCGTCCTCGTGTTATCGTTGATTTTATTACGTTTTTTTTTTTTTTTTAAGCCCGACGATATACAAGATAATAATCATAACAATATCAATATTACCACCAGTTATTTTCACACACTTTGTTTTTCATAGTTTGGCACCGAAACAACCGTTGCTGCCAAAACAGATAATACATTATATAACCTATGTAAGTTCGTTGGCTTTAATAATGATCAAAATACACGTATGTCTATATAAAAATCATGTTTGCGAAAATTAAAATCAACGCCTCGTAAAAAAATTTGTCGAATCATTACGCACTAATTGTTTATTTTTTTCCATAATGGTCTGTGAAATAAATTGTAAGTAGGTACCTACTACCTGTAATATAATTATAACTATGGTGCACGAACGATCTAAACGCACTAAAAATTTCAAACTCGGGAGTTATAATAATTATAAACTTTGATTTTAATTTCTTACGTTTTTACTAGCGGTCTTCACCATATACTTACGTACATCATAATTGAGCTGGGCCTCGAATTTGTCTGATTATTTTCAAATACTTATATTATAACTGGAACCTTTATGGGTTCCAGATGATTATTTTTATCTAAAATATTGACATCGTGTGCATATAATATATTATATACTAATATAATAATAATATATACTAATACTATTATATACTATAATTTACTATCGCATCTAATAGATTTCATTGGACAATTGAACACGTAGTAAAATATATTTTTAATTTACATAATTTAACATTACTTTTACCACTAGCGCGAATCCATTACAGTGTTATCACTGATAATTTTGGCATACCCAAAATGCGTTTATAGCTTTATCGGTGATACAGTGATACATCATGGTTAATCAATAATACTACGAATATGACGTGTATCACTAATTTCAACAGTCTTTTCAATTTATATGTAGAAAATATTATACAATTATATTTATAATAAAAAAAAACCCGAAATTATACACAAGTATAGATACGTTATCAATATTTTCTTAATTATAATCATCGAAATTATTTTTTTCATTTTTTTTAAATTGTAAATATTAAATTTAGATGATGAAAATATATTTTAGTTATATTTAATAATTATTATTAGTTGTGTTCAGATTAATTATAGAAGAATTGAGAGGAAAACGTATTGAGTAAATTAAAATTTTTTCAAATAGATAGTCTAAACGGAACACAATATTATAATTTCTTAAATATTGTTTATTTGTTTTTCGAAAAATATTTGTCTTTGTTATACTTTTCTCTGTATTTAATTGGAATCAATTTTTAATATATTTGTATTTTTATAAAAACCAATGGTTCTCGCTTTCTCGATCTAATATGTGGCTTGCAACCACATAAAATAATATTGCCGGACGTAATCGAAATTTTCGATTTTTTATTTGAGACGCGATCAGATGTATACCTGATACAACCGGACGGAATGGAAACTCTAGATGATTGAAAAGATCGAAACGGAACGTAATCAGACGACGCTCGTTATAAATGATTCTAAAAAGGAAATTATGATATTATATACATGTTTAACCCTGTTGTTTTAAGTTAGAATATGACAACAGCACCCCCTGCTTATCGTAAGACTTGATAAAAAAAAGGAAGCGGAGGGTAGCAGTAATACAAAAGCTACTACTGACCTCAATGTATAGATTAGAGTTTATTAAACTATAAATTATTAGACTCTGTTCTATTTATCGTGTATCAAAATCATCGCAAAACAAATTAAAAAATAACCTTAATTTATATGTAGGGGAGAGCGGGGTTAATTGTTACAATTTTAACAAATTTTATTTTTATAATTTTTCTCTTAAAATTATAAGAGTTGATAATAGGCTATTTTATAAAATACCTTTTCTGTTGGACCTTTTTATAATAAAGAAAAGAAAGAATAATTTAATTATTAATACTAAAAATTACACGCATTGGTCAAAAAACTGTTACAGTTAAAAACTTAATGATTTTAATTTACATTTTTAATTATATATATATATATATATATTAAACAAATAATAATAAAACAAAATAAATTATAAACAATTGTATTCAAATTCTATTAACCGTAACTACTTGCTTTAAAGAGTATTTTTCAGTATGTTTTCCTTAAACATATAAATGATATTATTAAATATTACTATAATTCGGTTGTAGGACTAAATAAAAAATAATTATTAAATATCAAAATTAACTTACCTTATATTGGTTCGTGGTAATTAATAAAGAAAAACTACTCTAAAGAATTACGTTTAATAAGAAAAAAAAATAAACTTCCATTATACTTTACGCTAATAAAATAATATACTTGATACTATCACAAAAAACATGGGGACTGTGATAATGGAATTTGTATTTACTCTTTTTAAATCCAACAATAAACAACAATAAACGCATACGATTTATTCAAACTCAAACTAGCTACAGAAAAATAACAAGTATTAAACCAGGGAAAAAGTTGTCTGCGTTTTTCGATTTGCTTGCCTGTGCATTTTTTTTCTAAAAAAAAAAGCAAAAGTCTATTATTTCTGTTCATAGTTGTTGAATTTGTAATATTTTATAATTTATTATATATATATGTGTGTTAAAGTATTTTAATTTTAATGTTTTTTGTGGAGGAGGTGATGCTATACCTTCTCGTGGTCTCCTCTGTAAGTAAAGCATTTCAGTAAAGCATCCTATCCATATTCTTATATTGTGATATTATAATTTCTTGACCTTAGCAACGAATACTTGAAACGAAACAGCACCGAAACGATAGTTAAAATTGTTCGCAATTTATATTTATAGCGGAAAAAACAGCTCTATTTCTTACTCGTTTTTTTTCACTGACAATCGTAACAATAACATGATACAAAATATACACACCATTTGTTACAGATCACCAAATGTAATAGTAAAAAATGAGAAAAAATTAACTAAATACAAATTCCAATAAAAAATAATAGTAATAATGATAATAGGTTTAACACACTGAAAATAATAACAAGGATCGTCCATATTATCAGGACGAGTTGTATTTTTACACATTTTTTTTTCCATACCTAATTGAAATACTAATATTAAGGTGAAGATAGTATACAATAACCTTAAGTAATTGACAAAAACAAACAATATTAATTTTCTATTACGTTTCTTATAATATATACTTATAGTACACCTGTATGCCTTCTAGTTTTTTTTTTTTTTTTTATTAAAAGCTTTTTGTAGTATTTTTATTTTGTGTAATACCATGAATGAATTACTGTAGCACAATTGTTTTGTTCAACTTTATTCCTATAATGAAGTTATTACAGAACAAGTTTTGATTTTTCCTATACTTAAATAAAATAATATTATTTATTCGCCGCAGATGACCGTCGCACATTTTATTTCAGCCCCACGGCGCAAATCCGGCCAATAGACGTGTAAGCTTATATAAGCGGCAACGAAAAAATGGGGGGGCGGAAAAAGAGAGGGGCTCGTGCGAGAGCGCGTTTTTATACAGACCGACGGGAAAACCGCGCGCTTAGTTGCATAACGTCTTGAAAATGACGAGCTACATCACGACGACGACTCGAAGTCTCCCGCGGGCTTTGCACGTGCCACTTGTCCTGTTGCTCCTGGTGCCGCACGCTAGTTCTTTCAGCATTTCATGGTAAGTAAGTACCTATACTTCGTACTGTATTGTATCCTCGTTTATATTTTTTAAAGAAAAAATAAAAAATCAGCTAGAATAACTCACCAAAAACCTGTATGAATACCTGTGCTTATACCTATATGAAAAAAGTGACTCCGTTCGCGGAAATCACTTCAAATACAAAAGAGGATTGGTTTTGATATAAAAAAAAAAAATTATTTTTATTGAATACATAGATACAATATGCAATAAAATTCCAAAACATTTTATTTTCACTGTACAAAATGTGTTATAATTATTTATTGTAAATTATTATGTAGATTTGCTATGTTTTTTTTTACTATAAAAATCAATCTCTCATAGTAAAAGACAGACAGACTTACTATATAGTACCTACCTAATACCATAATAGATATGCGCATAATTTTTTGAATATTTTATAATATTTTTTGAATCTAAATTATTTCTGAGATTAGGTATCGATTGTTTTTATGTTTTATTTAGATGAAAATAGTGGCTATTTTTCCCAAAACTTGCCCAAGTATTACGAACTCGTTTTTGAGTATTTTTCTGACACGAACGGTAAAACGGGCTTTTTGTTCGAAGCGTTTAAATTCTTTCGACATAATCGTTCTAAAATATAATTATTTTTGTTTAAAAAAATAGCTCAAAAGTAAAGGCTTTGCTGTAAATTGAAATAATATTAACGAGTAACTACCGACACCGGAACGCAAAATTATTTTATATCACGCACGTGCCACCCAAATGATACTATTGACAACAAATTATATTATTACAATAATATGCAACTCTGGTAATTCTGGCACTTTTGAAAAATGGAAATATGTACATGCTAGAGTCGTTTCTAAGACAATGTAATACAAACGAATTGATTATAGTGCTAAAACCTTAACGAAAATTGTTTTGATTTTGATAATTCTATCAAACCATCCGTACTTGAATAGTTAAATGGTATAATTTAATGACAAATAGGGATTTTAAAACCGGATGCAAATAAAAGCAAGTAGCTGAAATAAAACCAAATAAAACTTTTCTCGTAATTTTATTTTCGATATAAGCAGAACAGCTATTGTGGTAAGACGATATTTTTTCAAACGTCATAGCAGCATATTTTGCTCTCGTTTTTTTCAATGTTCAAATAACTCTGATCATCTTAGAGGTCCGTTCATGGAAGTGAAAATATTTAAGTAATGTTCAACAACAAAATAAACGCAGTTATTATTATCATTTTTTAATACAACGGAGCAACATAATTTTTTGAGGTGGTACCTATACTTACACAGTCCGTGTCGAGTGCTCTTTGTTTCGGTTATCCACGCAAACCTATAAGACGTTATACGATTAGAGTAAAACAATAGTGTTGTTGTATACTTACATGTCAGAGACAAAATTAATAAAATGTCAGTCATCGAAAACATAAACGGTTTACATTAAAAAATTGTGTTTTATAAACAATAAAATATCTAAATTTAATTTTTAATTTTTTTTTTTTTTAATAACAAATTCGCAAACTACATAGACGACTACACGATCGCTATAGCTACTTGTCAAGCCCATTGGATATTCTCCAAAACTCGTTTATTATATACACTATAATTAATAAAAAAAAAAAATTAATTAATAAAAACATGTCGATTTGGCTCAATTCGTAAAATAATAACGCGCTTAATACGATGGTATACGATTTAATATGCAGACAAGTGACGCAGTGATCATTTGATTCTACGCGCAACGACACCTGCAGTTTTTTAGTGGCGTAACCGGTAAATCAATTTCGTTCGAATTAACAAAAATACAATTTACCATAAAAATTGTAATATACCATTTAAAAATTGCATACCTGCCTTATTATTATGTATCAATCATACAATAAACTCTGCATTTAATTAATCGATTTGATCCCACTATAATATCAATATAATATATAGTTTTCAAAAAAAAAATTTTTTTAACGGGGAGGGTTTGTACCCTCTACGACCACCATTCCCCCTCATTTGGCTGCACCGCCGTCAGATTTATAAGTCGTTGACAAAAACAGATTGTGTTTAAATGTATATATTATTTAAACGTTATTTTATCGTTGTGGAATTAGGTCATTTTAGCGCAGGGTTTACGAACTTTTGAATAATATTAAACCGTCACGACAATATCACAACAATATTTGTGAACTATGCTAATACACGCGCTTATTATATACAAAGGAAGGCAAATAACATATTAGGATGTGTACATATAAATATTATATATTATACCGATGAACTAAATACATTATTGAGCAAAAGCCGACATTTTTATTTTTTTCGAATCGCTGATGTAAACAAGTGTTATGTTTGCGACCGCGTAAATAAAATAATTTTGGTTTTTTTCACATAGGTATACAGTTCACTTTTACCCGTTAATTCTTAACAGCCGTACGATTCATTTATTGCATACCTATTATTATAATTCTCTATACTCACACATATTGTATGTAACACATTTAAGTACAATGGAAAAATAAAAATCGAGGATCAACTTATGCCTATACCTATATATATATAATATAACATAATATGTATGTATAAATATATATATATATATATTTATGTCGCATCCACACAGTGTAAACGTACATTCGCATTTGCAACGTACTTCGATCCTTAACGTGTATGATGTTTTTAAGTTCATGAAATGGACACAAATAGTATCCATTTCGATACATAGAAAATCTTTATTTTACACTTCGTGTAATTTTTTTATTAAATTTACACGATGTGGATACAATTAAATGTAACATGTTATAAATACAATTGATATATGAGTATTATACTAAAATAGGTAGTTATTATTATTTATAAATTAATGCAATTCAAAACTGCATATACATATGATTAATTATTATTAATTATTACAATTTAACGAATTATGACAGCAGCTGTTACATTTGTCCAAGGTTTTGTAACAAAGCAATATCTACTTTGGTATTAATATTTACTAGTACCTACAACTTACATAAATTTGAAATATTAGAGACAGTTCACGCAAAGTTAATTGTTTATCATTATATGCCTTTAATCATTTTATTTTAAAAAAAAAAAGTAAATGTTATAGTTTTCATATTTGATGAACTGTAACATCCTCTTATTATTTCATGTTTATTTCTATGTTAGGTAACCCATGCTAATATTAATTCATTATAATTTGGCAGGATCTGATGTTCTACGATTTACTATGACATACAAACGATACTAAAAAAAAAGAGCTAATAATGAGGACGGGTGTATCATTGTTGTGAGTGGGAAGTTTGGAATAACATTAACTTTACATTAGCACCACCACCACTGTAAACATTGATTTACACAGGTGGTTAGTTTAGGTTTCATAGGTGATTTTTGAGTGGTGTACAAATTCAAAATTTGCGATTACAAATGTGTAAAAATAGAATAACAATTGTTGGTGAAGGTTTTGAGTCGATAGGTATACTGTACAAAAGGTAGGGTGCTGGTGTAACGTTACATAATAGTGTAAATTTGCTAACGAAATTCCAAGTTGGAGGTGTTGATGTAACTGACTTCATATGTAGGTATTAAGTCACAATCATCAATTATTTCAAAATCAGAAATTTTCAATTTACTGATCTGAAAAATAAAAAGTAGAAAAAATGTTTTAAATAAATATACGAGTATAATTTAAAAAAATTATAACAGGCATTCAACATTTTTCAGTAATTTTTTATTGTCATGTTTGTTGTAAGGTAACGTTATTTGTTAATTTTTATTTTTTTCATTAGATTCACATTAGTAGGTAATTTGCGATTTACCTAATGATACCGGAAAAATCGAAAACTTAAGTTGTTATTTTTAAATTACAAATGCTACAGTATTAAGTGATTTATTTATATTATCAGGTTCATGTGTAATATTGTTTAAAATATCTTTAAGTTTTCTTCAGTAGACAGAGTTTTTATTATTTTCGTTGGAATACTTGATGAAGACGATCCAAGTCTTTTATCCCTAAAGTCAAGGAAGCATTGAGAGGAGTATTCAAGGCATTGGAAATATGACTTATATGCTCATATGAAAAAAAAACAAATCTCAAAAATAGTCATTTGGTTTACAATTTATACAATTTCAAAAAAATTCCTCTTTCCACCGAATAATTAGATAATCACCATATCAATCGCCTCTATTTGCAGAAGTGATCCAAAAATTGGTTAACTCGAGTCAATTATGCCGGGGCACCAACATGTAAATGATCGTGATTTAACACCCAAAACACATCACCGTCGTCAAGTTCACGAACACTGCTATGAGTCTACATAATAGACGTGCGTGAGAATCCGAACTCAATGCGAATGATGTGATAAAAAATATTCGACTACGTTACTACTATTTACCGACATTGAATCACGATTAACTTTCACTCGTGTAAAATTTGGATATTATTCTGCATATTGTATACTATTATACGTTTTATCTCTGATACGATTACATTTCTATCCGTTGTTCCGAATTCGACAAACACGACTAGTTTTGAACAATACATACAAGATAAACGCGTTATTTCTATTTGCAAACACTGTAATTTATCGTATACAAATCTATGCAACATAGATAATAATATAATGTGTATGGTACACGTTACAAAGCGAAAATTGAAATAATATATTAAATTATAATTAACGTGCTGTCAAATAGTACGAATTTAATTTTTTTACTTTTCACATTAACAAATACTATACGTTTCGTGATTAAATACTATTTTTTTTTTTTCATTTCTTAATATATTATTCCTGAACAACAAATATGTTTACCAAATATTGGTAAAAAAAAAAAATAAATCAATATTGCAGTTCAATGGTAGACCGTTGATGTAAGTGACCAAGTTTATTATAATATTCTATATGAAAACGAAAAAAGATTTTGAGTTGAGTAGTATTTTACAAACGTGATATTACGCTTGATGCCTAAGTAACCTGGGAATCAACAAAAACCAAAAATTGGAATTTTTGTCTGACTAAAAAATTGTTTTTAAAAAAAATATCAGTAATTGAAAACAATTTTTCAAAAAGAATATCATCAGTCAGAAAATCCAACACTTGTAAAATATACGGCATAGACAAATTTGAAATCACAGCATTTTTACTAACCGTAATAGTATTTTCCGAAAAAAAAAACACATATTTGCAATACTATATAATAGCTTCTATTCGCGTTTTACTCAAAATGTATATAAAAAAAATAATAATAATAACAAATCTTAGGTAATTTACGTACGTAGTATACATATATTCCGAGTACGCAAGAATAATATTATTGTATTGTTTGAAAAACGAAATTTAAAGAAACACTTAGAAAACTAATTAAATATGACAATAATTAATAGACGGCTAGGTTGAGAGCCAGAACTCGCGGTTTTTAATATAAGATTTTCGATTTCTTTCGGTAGGTCGGTAATTATTTTGTAAACATCAAGCGGAACGATAATTAAGCGCATGCGAGATTACGATTTACGATTAAATTAAAATATTTAAATATACTTGCTTTGATCTACATTTTACGTCGTTTTAACTATAGAATTATATTACCTACCTTGCATAATAATAATAATACATTTTTATTTTACCCTTCCGATAAATTCATAGTGTTTCCAAGGTATACGAAATTGGAAATACGAATAACTCAGTTATTTTTAATTATTATTATTATTTTTTTTTATTTTTTTCATTAGACAACCACAATATACTTACTACTCGTTTCCTACGTGATAATTAATCGGAAAAACGTATGAAAATATTATAATAACAAAAGTACGTGGCGAATATTATTATCAACTTGGAATACATTTTTGTCCACAGACGAGATTAAAGAAAATTGTAAATAATAATATAAATTGAAAAATGTTTTTTTACGAACATTATTACCTACCTATTATAATATTTTATTTGATAATATTTAATCGTTTATTCTCAGTTTTTGGAATGGAAACCGTTTGACCGGTCTCAAAAGATTTATCACGTCATATGTTTTCAAATAATCAATTAATACTAACGTTTACAGATTTCGTACACATATAGCCGGCGGACCAATAAACTTCCGATAATATCGCCAGACCTGCGAGTGTAGTATTATAAGCGACTGTGAATTATTTATCTTATATCATAAATGCATATTAATAATAATATGTATTTATTATGCATTCTAAAGAAACGGACGAAAATCAACTACTTTGAAGGTTCTTCACCACTCAGTCCTATATTATTATTAATATATTATTGTATTCAGTGTCGTATTCACGACTTTTTTTTAGTAGAAGCGTGGTGGTTACACTAATACTATTTAGATGGCTGAGTCTATCTAAATAATTCAATGCCCACTTATATTAGAGAAGTGATATGTTTTTAAAAAACTGGTAAACAAATGAAAATTTTTACTGCTGAAACGATAATTTATATTTTCACCAAAAAACCAAAAATATAATAAATGTAAACTTTTGCAATAAAGAAAAAATATCATTTGGTACGTATTTTTTTAATAAGTACTATGAAATCCCATGACAGTAAATTAACAAACCGTTAAATCGATTTTTTTTTTTTACCAGGCGAGTTCATAAAGCAATTTTACTGCCCGTCAAAGATAATAATAATATTAACATTTTAATACGCATATACTAAAATATTATCTATAAAACTTACAAAAAAAAAAACCACGATGTCTTTTAATTAAAATCCCACAACAATAAACAAACCGATAAATCTTTTTTTCTTATTTGAGAATTTAATGAGAGTTCTCATAACATTAATATTATAATAATTTAAGATTAAAATAAAAAATTTCCGGAAGAAGTAAAACACCTTTGTACAATACTAAGTACCTAATTTAAAAAAATATTATCCGTCTACCTACGTAAATACGAATTATAAATAAAACAAATATTTCGATTGGGCTAGCAAATTTTTTTTTTTCGTTCACAATTTCGAGACAAATACTAGATACTGTCATTGTGCAAACACAATGTGTTCTTTATACTTTAAGTAATACTACATTACCTTGACCACTTACTGAAACAACACGTGCGGAAAAATGACAATATTATTGCATTTAGGTATTTTTATGCACGCAATATAATATAACATATTGTTTTATATATTCCATTCTTAAAGATAATCATATTATATTTCAATATTACAAATACAAACATGCGGTCTTCTTACATTAACGCAAGTGGGTATATTTTAGTAGTAACTATGTAAGACACATCAATAATAAACCTACATTTTTATTCACTTCATTTTTGTTAGGTGTGAATTTGCAAACATGTATTACGAATGCATATAAAGAATCTATACAGTAAACGCCTAACAGTAAGTGGTCAGATGTTTTAGAGGATAACGGATATCGAGGGAAGATAGGTGATAAAGCAAGTGTATACCGTGACACATAGAGGAATAAATAGTTGGACATCGCGTTAATAAGAACGTGAGGAAGGTCATATAAGAGGAATAAGGCACAGATAATATATTATCATAGGAGTGACAATCTTCATTTAAGTAGACGGTTAAAATGTTCTTTGGGTCAACCATCAGAGTTTAAATAATTAAATTAATCGTAAATAATACTGATTTCATGATTACCTGAATTCAAAATATTTGCGTCCATTATAGGTACTAATAATAAAATTGTTATCATAATATTATTTTACTGAGTTAACTTAAAATATAAAAATATTCCATGAGAGGTTTTACTTATTAAAAAAAATTATGCAACGAATGACATTTATTCTTTGTTATAAAGTTTAACCCTTTCTATATTTGTAGTGTAAAATGAGATTATTCCAATTATCGTTTTCAATCCATAAACAAAAGTTCATTAAAATATATTTGGAACCTGCATAGATAGTTGTCAACTGAAGAACTTAATACAAATGCAATTTTAAATTCTCTATACTTGCTGGCTACTATTACTAAAGTCCAAATGTCGTTAAAGTGTTCAAAGACAAAAATAAAATGAAACACAAAATAAGTACTTACTCGAACCGCGCTTGTGTGCAAAAGAAAGACTAACCGCTAGGCATTTGCAACTTACGAATCAAACGATAAGGCCTCCGACAGTTTACCAAATTATTAAAATTAAGCTTGAGTTTAAATTTATCCTAACCTTACTAACTACAAACGACTTTTGCTATAATGACTAGTACCTAAGGTTCATTCAAAAAATATTATGATTAGTCTTTCTTTTGTTTTTAAGCGCCGTTCGGGTAGGTATTTTCTTGTTTCTTTCGTTTTAGATTACACTTATACGCTTGTAGAATCGATATTTTAATTCGAAATGATATTCTAAAAGGAAATTGTTCACGGAACCCATAAATAATTCACATGGAATCCCAGGGTTCCGCAGAACACAGTTTAAGAAACACTGATATAACCGCTGTTTGACTTAGTTTTCCCAAAAACAGCAGAGCCTACGATTGTTTTATAAGAAAAAAGTACAAGCAGTTTTTGTATGTATTTGATTTAAGTTTAATTAGTAATTGATTATATTATGGAATTATAATAGTTATAGTAAATAAATATATAAATAAAAAATAAAAAATGAATAAATGAATTAATACGTTGCCTGGTAACGATAATTGTAATATAGGTACGACTGGTTTTAAATTAAATTGTTTTATCATCATCAGGTATATCACAGTCAAAATGTAAAACGCGAATGAATATAAAAAATTAAATTAAGGAATACTTAGAAGAAAAAAAATTATACAAATTGGTCATTTTACATAGAATATAGAATTTATTTTAATAAGAGAGATTAATTATAATGGGTCATTATTAAATATAGATAAAATTATGTTAAGAAATATAAATTATTTGGTTATTATATATTATCTAAAATATATTAACATAAGATATTTTTTAAAATCGGTTTGAACATTTAAAAAATTATTAAAATTATTTCTCTTTATTTCATTGTGTACGTGTAATTCTTCTAAAACTAAATTAATGTAAATGTTATTTAGGGTATTTAATATTTCTAAGTCTATATTGATATCAAAACCTATATTATGACTATTTTCTAAAACATGTTCAGCGAAATTTGAATTAGGGGCAATGTTTTTTAATTTTATTTCAGACATGTGTTCTTTATATCTTATTTTAAAATTTGTACTTGCCTTACCTATACATTGCCTTAACTAACATTTAAATTTATACATTACAGCATTTTCAAAAGAATGGGGATTTTTGTGAAGTTTTTAGTTCTATTATTTATATGTTTGATTAAATTATTATTAGTCTTAAAAGTGATTTTTACATTATTTGTATTATTGTTCAAAATTTTAGCGAATTCATTATATTATTTTATTATTTCGATATTTCATACACAATAGTTAATAACATTATTTGGTGAGTTGTGTATTATTTTTTTCTTTAATACGTTTATAATTTTTTTTAATAGTATTTAATTTGAAATTATTTCTATGGGCTATATTATAGATAATATTGAGCTAGTGTTGATAATTATGTTTATTTAATGGAATACGTTTAAGCCTATAGAATATTGAATTAAAAAATGATATTTATTGAGAATAAGGGTGATTAGAATCTTGTAGTATTATAGCATCAATTTGTGTAGGTTTTCTGTAAATACTAAAATCAAATTAGTAAACATATTAATATAATCGTATAATCGTAACAGAAATTCTCGAATATTTCGATACGTTATATTTCCGTAAATGGAAATAAAACAATAACTTTCTCTTTTTTCCGCTACTCGCGAGATAAAAGGCTTCTTTTTGATTTTCCGGTTAGGATTTCCACAGAATCTTTTTGAATTTAATGAATTTAATAAAATAGAGTTAACACTATGTCAATGTAGAGACTACCGACTTTTGTATGAATTTACCATCCCCCGGTATACGTACACATAATACATAATTGTGTAGGTATTATAGGTATTATAGGTATTCAGAAACGTATATTTACAAAAAAAATGAAATACAGGAACATCTTGCAGCCTAAGTTACTGTCCTGATTTTTCTGTGCTTGGTTCGTTTAAGGATGCTGAGAAATTTTATTGAAATTGACTCATAGAAAAATACTTCACGTTATCGCTGCCGATGAAACGAATGTCAATGTTTAGCAGAATTTAATAAAACCCATTGAACTGCATAACATAATTTCTCCCGCAGGTTGTTCGAGGACAATACTTATAGAGGGACATCCAGTCCCAAGTATTACGACGAATATCCGTCGGGAACAGAAGAAATTGGAGAGTACAATGACGTGTTTAACGAATTCCGTGTGTATTGGAACGTGCCTACTTTCCAGTGTCATAAGTATGGGTATAACTTCACCGAAGTAGCTGAATGGGGCATACAACACAACGCAGATGACTCATTCCGCGGCGACAAGATTAGCCTTCTATACGATCCAGGTCTGTTCCCGGCCTTATTGCAGGGAGGTAGTTCCTCGCGTGATTACGTCGTCAGAAACGGTGGCGTACCTCATGAGGGCAACCTTACCAAACATCTGGATCTGTTCGCCCAAGAACTGGTTAGCAGACTAATTCCGGACCCGAATTTCTCCGGTAAGCGGTCTTCTTATCCGGATATAATTTAAACAAAGAGGATTATCCAGATAAAGATTAAAAATGTCTGTAATGAAAAATGTCTAGAGATGTATGCTTAAAATAATACATTTTACAGCATAATATTTCATACAGCCCATAAATTTAATTTAATAAATTTGAAGGGATCTATAAGGGTGTTCAAAACTAAAAACAAACCTACTTCTCCTGCAACAATATAATATGTAGAAATCTATATTTAAATACAACCTAACTATTATTACTTCTCTCTATCTACAAAACAACACTAATTCTTGAGTTTGAACTTATTTGAAGCAGAGGAAAAAGATAAATACTTGTATATAACAGACACATTACAATCTCTCTTTTCGGGGGAAATTCGAGAAAAAAAATTGTAGACAAGGTATGACATAATAAAGTGTTCATTGGTATTTGTATTGAATTTAAAAAAAACAACAACAAAAAACTATTAATTATGTTTAGGGTTAGCTGTTATTGATTTCGAACACTGGCGTCCTATATATGATGAAAATTTTGGTTCATTAATGATGTACAAAGATTATTCTATGGATCTCGAAAAATACAATCATCCCTTTTGGCAAAAACAAGATCTCCAAAAAGAGGTATCTATGTCTCTATAGTATTTATTAATTAAGAAATATACTGTGTAAATTCTAACCTTGAACTACTTCTATACTATTCTATTCTATCTAATACCCACGGAGAAAACAAATTATAAGTGGTTAGGTGACCCTTTCTATGATTTAGACCGATGTTTGATTAACTTCATATAGATTAGTAATAATTAACATAATATTCGCGTTTTATGTAATTGACTGTACAATTAACCAATAACGAAGAGACTATAATCTACGTTATGTGATTGTCAGTGTTAATTGATTAAATTAGATTACCGACGAAATATAAACCTAGTACAAACAGTCCAACCTATACCAAAAATTATTATAATTATTGACTAAGTAATAGTATTATTGAGGAGCGACTTGAGAGTATGTTAAGGAAACATAGCCGGTTTAGAAGTAAATAAAAATGAAAATAAATTTTAGATTTTAAATAGAGCGAAAAAGCTTAATATTGTTTTACAGTGATGTTTTTTGTTTTTATTATTGTTTTTTTTATCTGTGAACAACTTTTCTACCAGCATCCAATTTACAATAATAAAACTTTTTCCGAAAGGAAATTTGACTAGGGAGGTACTTTAGAAGTCATTTTTTGATTTTCTTAGGAGTTTTCTAAATATATTGGAAACACCGGAATAAACGAAGGAAAAACGGGAGAACGGAAAAATAGGTAGGTACAATATTAAACAAATTTTATTAAAAATAATATTTAATACATATGTAATTATTTTATCATAATATGACATATATATTGTTGGAAAAGCTACACTATCATCTGAACTCCACTATAAGAATCGTTTTTTCATGCATTGATTTCAGCAATGGTTAATCGTTACTTACATATATACATTAAATTCCCCCCTGTATCCCTGTATCTTCTCAACTTCCCACCTACAAGAATGTTGCACTCTCGTTCGAAGTATATCCGTATTTTTTTATTAAACTGTGTAACTTTAATAACTGACTGCATTACATCCTTAGACGCTCCTTCAATTTCCCCAACAGCTACAAGTATATAATCTAACTTTAAGTAGAAATTTTCCATAAGTTGTGTTTCACTTGCAAATGTATGTGTATCAAAAACGTTGTGTGTCATTTTTCCTAAAAAAATTTACTCAATGTTTTTCAGACATTTTCTGTAACTATTATACTAGGTAATGAATTAAATGCCGTCATACCTACCTAAAACTATGATACTATACTATTATCATAACAAAAACAGGTACATTACTTTGTCCTCCCCCTCATAGGCGTGCACACAACTTCGGTGCAGGTACAAGTAATATTAGTAATATTGTTGGTACTTATATTGTATTAAATTTATATAAATACCGGAGTAATACAAAAAATAAAAAAATCAAAATGATATTAAAAAAATTAATTTTTTGTCAATAACAATCCAAATCTTATCTATCCTGACGCTGTAACATTTAGGCGTAAATCAATATTGAGTTACCATCATATATAATAAATAAACGTCTATGACTACGGTCTTATCAATGAAATAATATTAACTAATGAATATATATTCTGTGTCTTATATTCACAGATATTTTACAAAAAATGTCGTATTAAAAAAAAGTTAGGAAACCAAGATACAAGGAATTAAATATTAATACGGGTACGGCACAGACCATATCCATATCCATGGGCCGTATCCGTATACGCATTACGCATAAGCTCCCCCTTCAATTTGGTTTTTAAAAAAATGTTTTCGTCAATGGTTTGTAAACAATTTTTATCGTTTTGTAACATTATTATAGTTTCGTTTGCATAAATGTGATTACATTTTTTAAAAAAAATTTGATAAGGGGATAGGAAAAATTTAAAAATATAATTTATACTCATATTTAGTTTAATATTATTATTTTAACTTGTAGGTAGGCGATCATCAAAAATCAATAAATATACGGATAATTAACAGAATTTATTTATTATAATAGATGTACCTTTGTTTACACCGAAAATATTATAATATCACAATTTTTAAAACATAGGTTGTTTGCAGACATATAATAAAATATGAGAATTTTAGCTTGGTTACATTTGACAAATATTACCCGTTAATTATAAAACAGCATGAAATATTTTGTACCAACGCGTTATCAGACTGATAAGTAATTAGAACTACAGGAATTACATTTCTCGTAAAAATAATTATAATAATATGTGTTAAAAAAAAAAAATCAAATCAAATAATATTGATTTGTTAAGCTCAATATTTGTTAATGTTAATATTAATATTATAATGTATGATATTTTTCTTATAACGTGTGGACTGACTTATCAATATATTTTGGGTACCTACAGAATACCTCTACTTGCTCAATACATGTTTTTTTACAAATGTAATGGAGAAAATATTCTCAGTATATTTAGGTTATATACAATCTAAAAGAAATTTAAAATAACTCAAATAAATCACAGAGTAATAAATTAAATAAATAAATAAATAATATTAGAAAATGCAAAACATAATTCCATACATTATTATCTTTTATGTACATATACAGGATGTAACACGAAATTAAATAACTTTTGTTCCGTTTAATATTAATAAATTTTGTTTACTTATTATAATTTCTTGTCCTATAAATTCCTATATCTAATATATTTATACAACTAAAAATAAAAATAAAAATTATTTAAAAATTATTTCTACAAAATCCAAGATTTGATTATATTTATAATATTTATATATTTTAAAACAAAATGTTCGTATTATAAATGTTTACTAGTGATGAATCGTTAAGTTTCTACAATTTAATGAAAGTTAATCATTTATCATCATGCAATTTTTTGGTAATTGATAATTGAAACCATAAACAAAAAATAAAATACACACAAATTGTGTTATTCATCTAAAATTGCTGCTTGCAAACTGGACATTTTTTTTTTTGTGAAATATAATTCGATAGTATTGTTACACCTGTACAAATGAAGTATAAAAATATCTACACCCGAGAAAAAAATACTTTTTTTGGGCCATCCTAATGTTGATAATGGTATGATGAGTTTATTTTATATATTTTATTATGTGTCTGTAAACAACCTTTATTTTAAAAATCATGCTATTATAACAACAGGTGTAAACAAGTATATTATAATAAGTATAGTCTGTTAACTATACGTGTATTTAATTGTTTGTTATGATCATTAATGACCTAAATACCTATAAGTGAAAATAATAATATCAAAATAAATTTGTGTACAAAATTATATTTTTAAATTTCTTTTGTCCCTTATCAAATTTTGTTTTCAGAATTGCAACCAAATCTATACAAACGAAACTAATAACGTTGCAAAACGATACAAATCAACTATAAACAAATGGTGAAAATATTTTTTAAAAAAACCAAATGGGAAAGACCAGGGAAATATACCTGAAAAAACGCTTCCTCAAACTCCGTGTAAAAAATGACTAAGTAAAAAAAATATATATATTTATAATATAAAAGATCAGTAAAAATGACTATAAGATTTGTTTTATATATATTTTTTTCTTTTTGTTTTTTTTTTTTAGGCATCAAGAAAATTTGAAAAATCGGCTTCACAATTTCTTATACGAACGCTACAAATCGCAAGATCGCTGAGACCATACGCATCTTGGGGATACTACGGATATCCGTTTTGTTTCAACTATACGCCCAAAAACAACCGAGCGAAATGTTCGGAAAACGTAATGAAAAATAACGAAAAGTAATACATACAAATATTAAATAGTACAGGTATTCATAATAATATTGCGAAATGATTAAATATATTACGAGTTTGTTAAAAAATGATATTAATAATATGATAACAGACATTAGTGAAAAATTTGTGACATTACATAGGGAAAAGCGCTTTGTTAAAACAGATACATTTTTTTTTCAACAACGAACAAAAACACGACGGTTATTTGAGATTTTCACGGTGACGTTTTTTATCTTTGGTATCTATTAAAACACGGTAAATTGGTCGAAATTATATTTGAATAACTATAATACTTGGTATATAAATTATATAACCATCAGTTTTAATCTATATACTTATATATATATAAAATTGAAGAGTTGTCTGCTTGTCCTCGGGCCGATCTCAGAAACTACTGAACCGATTTTGACGGTATTTTCACGGGCAAGGAGTAATCAAGACTACTTTTATCTCGGAAATATTTGTTTCCGTGAAAAATAATTGAAATTAAAGATATGCCTATAATAGCTGTAAATTATTTGGACTCTATTGTCACCGTAGCACGTTGTCGCCGTAGTCCATAAAGCTGTAGTCGTGCAGTTGCTATCCCCAGTACGCATGCGCATTTACAATGCGCTTGTCTATTCATGAAACACAGTATGTGAGCATTCTTATCAATTTTTATGTTTTGATATTATTCTGATCGAAATTAATTTACGCCGATTTTTTTTACAATACTTTTTGTCGAAATATTTAAATTCTCTCAGAAATTAATCTTTGAAATTAATAATAATATAGTCCTGTGTTACTATTACTACTATTGTACTACTAAAATGCCTTTACTGTGCAATTTGTGAACTGTGACTTACGTGTTTTATGAATAGACAGCCGAATGCTTTGTAATAATTTCTCGTTGTCCCTATAATTACACAAATCGTGTTTGAATAAAGCGTCGTTGTGACCGTTTATTATTTATCTATAAAAGGAAGTGTGTTTGATAAAATTGAAAATTTTCATACCTTTGCGTGCGATAGATTCGGACGTAGATCGCGCAAAGCCGTGCGAGACATCTATATAGTTATAAATAATTATTATGGTATACTTATTCGAATGTATAATAGAATCGAGCTGATATGGTAAAATAGTTTTTACTTTTATAATCGGTAATAGTGTTATTATCCTTATGGTTACTATAATAATTATCATTTATTATTAGGCATAATACCCATATATAGTCGTTAAGTTTTAAACGTTAATAATTATTCGTCTGATGACTTTATTGTGATGCCAGTATATCACCACAACTTGCGTGTCTTTGTACTATTAAAAATGGATATTACAGTAATGTATTATTGTAAGTATATGTACACGCTACACCGTTTGTGTATTTTTGTTTTCTTTGGAAAGCAGGTAATTAAAAAAAAAAAAAGTATGATATAAACGATCTACGATAATTTCCAACTCGTAATAATATAAAACGTAAACCGTAATTATTAAGCTGGCTATACCTAAATGGACATCCGCGAATAGAAAACGGTAAACTCAAGTAAAATTTACAAGTAGGTATACCTACCAACAATCCCGTACATATATATATACTTACTCCGTTATTTTGAAAATCTAAACGAACCGTAAAAAAACTATAGCTACGGTGCACATACGTTTAAACGACTGTTTATTATTAATATAATATACTTACACGCATGTGAAATTTCTCCCGTTATATTATTATATTGACTTCAAACTTTACCAATATTTTGGAACTTATTTTGTACTATTTGGAACATAGTTTTCTGAATTTGGAACTTCATAATTTTCTTGGAAAATCAAACTATAGATGAATAATTTCAACATTCGTGAAGTGTACAAATTATTTATATTTCTGCACCAGACCATGTTATTGATGAAGGTTTTAGGTAGATAATTTGACTTTCCGAAAAAAGTTTGATGGTCCAAATCCAGCAAACTAGGTTCCAAAATATTGATAAAGGTTTGAAGTCAATATAATATTGACGGGGGCGGAGGGGGGCGCAACTTTACACACATTACACCTATAGGTATTTTAGGGATTGATAATAATTGTATATTAGTGCCTACTTCGTAATAATGATTTTACTTATTTGAATCGGATAACAATATTATAATTACGTGTCGAAACATTGGAAAACAAAACAATTACGTTCGAATATAATATTTGAAATTGAAAAATAATTACACATTTTATTATCCTGCTACTTTCTGTTCTGACTATTGATATTTTATATTTTTCGTGCTCCATACGAATAGTCATATAAATTAAATTGTTTAAATGTGTTATTCGTCCGACCCTCAAATTTTTGTATAAAATGTTTGACTTTTTTTTTATCCAACATAATTCGTACCAAAACACACAACCCAAACACGATCAAGTATTACATACGACGTGTGACATTTTGTTTACTCGTTTAGAACATCAACGTCTCGCAGTGTTTGTATATAAAGTCAAATCGAGCTGTTGTTGTACCTACGCGTTTTACTCGGCAATAATATTATGATTGTTGTTGTTTTGTTTTAATTTTTTCAATACAGATCGAAATGGCTGTTCGACGAGAGTACGGCGATTTATCCGTCTCTTTATTTCAAATATGAAAACATGAATTCGGACAAGAGGGCTAAATTCATGCAAGGCAGAATGGAGGAATCGATGCGCGTGATGCAAATGTGCAACTCGCGAAAAGTCGTGTACCCATACACGTGGATCAAATATTACGATACGAAAGAATTCGTGGACAAGGTAAATAATATAAATTTTATGAATAATAATTTAATGGGCGCGGGAGAATTAGGGTGTTGTTCCGGTTTTGAAAATGGTTCAGCGGAGCAAAACTTCTCTATACAGTTGTGCATGAACTATTATAAAATATGTACGCAATACATATTATATACCTAGGACATAGATATAATACATTTTTATCGCGAGAAATTTATCTGCGGTTTTATTAAAACGATTAAAAACTGAGATAAAGTCGGAAATAAATATTATTTCATAAAAAAAAAAAAAAAACTGTAAAAAATTATCGTTTACATAAGAACAAAACACGCGTGTTATGTTATAATAATATAATGCATTTAATCCGTTCACGCCGAGTGTTAGGTTACGTTTTGTGATTTCACTACTTAGCATTTCGAAATTATTTTTTAAAAGAAAATTTTATATATTATATTTGTAAGAGAAAAAACACATTTTACATTCGAAGTGTAACTCAGTATAGCTCTATTGTTTTGATAAACCGATTGCCGTCTAATCGCATAAAAAATAATAATAATAATTAACTAACAAAACCATCATAGCATTATATTTATTCATTCGGCAGCTGCTATCGGCCGAACATTTATTTTCTGTTTCGAAATCGAAGCGCGTAGAACGCAATTCTGCGATTACGAGGCTAACAATAATTTTACACTGCTCGTTTTAACAAAAAAAAAAAACTGAAAAAGTCCATAATTCAATTATACGAGACCGTGCGTATAGAAATTTGAATTTGGAAATCCGGCTTCGAGACGTTGTGGGACCACTCCAGTTTGTCCGCTGCGTGTACTACATAATATTATGTTTTCCCAAACTAGTGTATCGCCGCATATGGCTGTCTGAGGGTTTTAACTTTTGTTTTTGTGAAAAACTGTTGATAATCTAAACATTAGTTGAAAAATATGCATCTTGACATAACGAAAAAATGTCGATGCGTTTTTATAAATCTAAAAGTGGTTATATAAGTATTAAAATAACACACACGCACACACACATACAGAATTCTCGAACTGAAATCGACTTAGAAATTTTGCATAGAGATTATCGAAAAGGTAATTTTGTTTAGTACAATGAAGAACAAAGATATTAATTGAAGATGCGTTTTTTTTTCCTTCAAACACTTTTACCATAGTTAGTAAAACGACTATGACTTTTTCACGCCGTCAAAAGATGCAGATTTTCCCGGGGTTTAGACTTCTTTAGAGAGTGATATATCACCCACATCACCCACTTTGATAACGCCACTGAACCTTAAATGTTACAGATTTAGGAATAAATCTCAAATAAATATTTGTTTTCATTTTTTTAGAGCCTATTAGCATTACCTAGGAAACATTACGAGGAAGTTGACTTTTTAATCTCTCAAAAATAGTTTAGTAATGGTCAAGTATTTTTCACAGTTTTAAAATTGTTATTTATTTTGATCCATATGGTGTTTATATTTTACATATTATTTACTTTTATTTTGATACGATTATTTAATATTTTTACCAGTGATGTCGGACTAAATATGGATAAATACTTTACAACATCTTTACCGAATTAATATATTAAAAATCATGAATAATTTCCAAATCAGCTATCTAGTGTTTTATGTTTCTGTAAACTCAGAAGCTGATCGTATATAAAGACAGTTTATCGTTTCCAAAAATGTTTTTCTAGTCTCGTTCCCAGTCACAACAATTAGTATACAATCATGAAATGGTAACTTTTTAAAAAAAAATTTTTTACCCGCACTTACAGGCTGATCTGATGAACTCGTTCACTATACCAAAGGACAACGACGCGGCCGGAGTGATCATCTGGGGAGCGTCTAACGACGTGAACACCGAGAGGAAATGTAAAGCGATGCACAACTATCTGACCGGCGTGCTCGGGCCCACGTTGAAAACGTTTTACAAGAACAACCGGAAAGCCGCAAAGATAAAGAAAGAAAAAGCCATCGCAACCGTTGCTGCCGACAGCGTATTCGATTACTTCGCGTATTGACGCCGCTACACCGAACCCGCACCAATTATTTGTCGTTATAATAATGATAAGAATGATATCGCCGAGATGTTATTATATCTATTATTGTGTTTACCGCCCTGAGTTACCTATATCGTAGAATATGTGTGTATTAACGATTGCATCATATTATTACTATAGTCCTGTTATGTACATATTATTATTATAATAAATTATTATGAAATATTATATATACCTGTGTGTAACTTATTTATAAAAGCGCTGTTTACGATTTTATTCAAAAATCCATCACATAGAAACAATACATAGATTTTTCAAAACAATCCATTTTTAACATTCAAATATTCTAACCAAGAGTACTTCTCGAAATGAATTATTATATGTTGTATCGTTTTTCAATTTTTTATCTTTTATAATGTGGGATAATAAAAGGAAAAATAAAACTTGATGCATATTTTATATTACTGTTTTTAACAATTAATGATCTAGTTTAATTTTCAGCAGCGTCATTTATAAAATAAATAGTATCAATTATTTCTCTGCATTTGATGCAGTGTTACCTGTACAGTAAATTTGTTTCAATTTTCTCACAAACTATTGCAGATATAAAAAAGGTTAACTCTTGTATAACTGTTTAACGAATACGCTTCTATAATTTGTAATCGCCATAGGCGCAAATAGCCATAATATTTTTAAGATAACTTAAGGCCTATTAAGGCTTATTGATTATACAAATATATACTAAAAACATAGTATAAACTTTTAAACTGGAGGATTCAGCAAGAATTTGGGTAGTCTTAAGCCCCCCGAACCCTCTTATTTGTGTCTACAGTAATCTTTTTTAGTAAACATAACTAGAGGTTTGATTCTGTCTAAAGTTTCTCAAATTTTTTAATTAAAAATTTGTTAACTTAATTTGTGTTAATTTTACTTTAAATATGAAAATGATTCTGAAACGTTATTTTTCAGTTGTTTTGTTTTCTATAATTTTATATTTTTGTTAAATTTACTTTATGAATTTATAACGCTATCTGTTAGTTTATTTTCTGGAAACTTACGGTTTCCCCATTTTAACATCATAATATCGCTTTATTTTTTTTCTTATTATCTATGAGGAAAAGTGATTAAGTATTTTGGTGCCACCGCCATGATAATAAGTCGCTAAACAAGTAATAATAATTAATATGGTATCCGCCGTGGAACGAATAAAATTATATTATTTATTAAAGTGACTACAGAGTATACACACATGAACACAAGCCAAGAGGGTTGATTCAATAATGCCCTGAACTCACCGATGATAGCTAGTAGGATATTTACTGGAATTCTAATGAATAAATTTGATTTAAATTATTACACTCATGCTATTACTAAAATACAACTTTATTACTAGGAATGTCTTGCCCTGCTTAACTTAAAACCACTGTCCATTAAATTCCATCCCGGATATATTTTCTATATACGCCACTGTTATCGGGTAAGTATTAATAAGATTTAATGTATTATAAATTATGAATTATTATATTTAATTGGCAAGTTTGTAAAAAAGCAAATTATACTTTTACCAATTTCACTTTCTCACCGTACTTTGCAAGATCAAGCAAATCGAATTATTTACATTTTATTCAAAATCTTAATCACACCGTCATTTTCTACGGATTTGTTAATCGAAGAATTAGGGGAAAACACAAATTAACAATAGGCCCTGCAACGATACACTGCTCTATTTTCGTATGTATGTACAAGTTGCAGATGGATATAGTAAATAAGCAAACGCTTGCTTGTAATATTATCATAATATTGTATTTTGCCAAAAACTAATAAATGCATAAACTGTTTTACCATTAGCGCATAGTAATTATTAATAAACTGGACGTGTAATTGTATTTAAATTTGTATGCATGTTTATGTGCATATTTAATGATTATAGGTTGTATCTTAGTTCTTAATTATTAAAAACAAAGAATACAACCATAAAAACTATGAGAATTGCATATAAAACAATAAAGTAATAGTTTATTTGACTCAAATGATAATTTATTAAAACAGTAAAATATGTACTTACTAGATAGTATATTATACTATCTGGTAGATACTTAACAACAGCATAATTAACATTATAGTAGTTATTTTTTTAGTGATCATTGGTCATTAACTACTTAAATCTAACTAACTACCTTAAAGTTAGGAGTAAGGTTATAAATAATTTATTTTTTTGAAACTAATCAACACATATAATTTAGTTTTAATTAAATAATATGTTTATATAATAATCTCAAACATCTATGTAGTTATAAGTTCCAATATGCATTCAAATTTAATATAGGTTATCACAATAATGATATTATGACAATGCAATAATGATAATTATTGCGATTCTGTAATTGACTGATTTAGTTCTGTAATACATTATATATTTACAACTATACTAACTCCCAAAACAATAATCAAACCCGTACAATGTCCGTTAAAAGCAACAACAATAAATTTCAAAAAGTCCATTGTCCCGATCCAAGCGGAGCGTAACGAGATAGGTGTCTAATCGCCGCACTCTGTCTCATGTTTTCTTTTTCTTTTTTTTTAATTCACCGTATTTATAACGACTTGGAATTAATTAAGTTTGCTTATCACGTATGTGTGATCACGGCAATTAAAACTAATCGTGCCGTAAATTATCATAAGATACCTAATGTTTACGAAATAACATCTTGAAACTATATTATATTTCAATCCGATATTTGATAGTATTATCCGGTCCATCGGTTTTATAAATTGATTATATACATGTCTTTGCTATTTGCTATTTAAAAACATGGTACACACGTGTTAGATAAGTATAATAAATCGTCCAAATATCTTTTCACATATGTATTTCAAAAACTAGACGTTTACGTTATTATAGTCTCTGAATCTATATTTATTATAAATTTATAACCTATACGACACTATATGAAATATAATTAGATTCTGAGTGGAGCGAAGAATGTATTAGTTTTATTATATGTTTTTTTTTTCTATCTTTAACCAACTTTTCAACCAGAAATCTCGCTCCAATCGAAAAATGACTAGATAGGTACCGACCATTTTTTACATTTTGAATCTATTGGTGTATTATAAAGAGGTTATTTTATGATTTTTCAAGTGGTATTCAAAATAATTAGGAAAAACAGAAAAAAAACCCGTATAGGATAAACGGACTAATATTTACGGCGAGCCGCGGTGTTTCCGAATTCACTATTTTTAAATTTTAATTAAATATTATGGCATTATATAACTGCAAAACATCACTCAGAATCGTATTTCTTATTATATGTTCAATATAAGTTAAATAACTTTATGTATCATACCTTTCCAACTTCTGAACTATAACAGTATTGACCCATCAGCAATACCAACTTTTGGTGAGGAAGGTCTGTAGAAGTCAAGAACAACGTGTACAATTTAATAATAGTCCCTCTGAATCAAACCAATTGTTTCACATTAAAATACATTTTATTTGTTATTATCGATGCATATAATACATTTGATTAAAAAAAAAATCCAATTTTTATAAACAGATATGATAACAACATTGATGTATAGATTATTATTATCATCATAATTTAATGTTATTCAATAATTTCGCGTTTGTTTATTTTTTTTTCTGTTTGTAAACTTTCTAAATATAACCTGCAGATATATAATGAGCGATGGTTTGAAGAATTAAAATGTATTTATTATTAAACAATAAAATAGGTAATATAGTGACCGGACCGAAAGAGAAATTATTTTAATTAAAACTGTTTTTGAAAATGTGTATAGATAAAACTAATAAACTTTAAAAGATAGTAACTGCACCGTCTGCGCATAAACGAAAATTACACACCTTTGATAATAATATTTTCTCGGTGATTGAACTCGATGTATATATTGCAGTGACCTTCCTCACGTTCTTGTTAATGTATTGTCCTACTTTTGATTTCCCTACATATTTTGCTTTATCACCTATCTTCCCTCGATATCCTCTACAATTTCCAACCACTTAATGTCAGGCATTTCCTCTATCGTTGCCCTATATATTCATTCGTAATTCAAGTTCTTAAATCTATAAACAAATATTCCTTGAAATACGTTTGAAACCTACATAGATAGTTGTTTACATAAGTACCTAATTAATAAACATCTCCACATTATCATTTGCAGTTATCTATACCTGCTAGCTGCTACTAATCTAGTCCAAAAGTTATTTAAGTGCTTAAAAATATAAACAAATAGATAAGTATGGAATATTATTAAACACGTAGTTAATTATATAGTAACCATAATGTATATTAGGTTCAGAGCGTAGCTAGGGAGCTATTGGTTTTACTAAGATGATTATTTTTTTTTCCTTCTTCTAGTCTGTGGCCACGTTTTTTTCTAGTAAACTTGCTCCGATTTTTACATGTAGCAAATTTTCTAAAATCTCAAGTTGTTTTAATTATACTTTGAAGAGGACATTTTTTTTTATTTTCGACGCCATTTTTTAAATAAAAGTACCTAAATGGGAAAATACGTAGGAAAATGTACAATTTCACGATTTCATTATTTTTTTTAAAAACATTGACGACGTTCTCTACCAAAAATGATTTAATCGAAAAATCACAAGACACCTTTTTTGTTGCCTTTTTGATTTACTTTCTCACCATTTATTTACTTTACTAACATCGCCAAAACTTTTGATCCACTTTTGAGCTTTTAAGGAATTGTAATTTTTGGGAGTTTTTTGCTATAATTCGGTTATAAATACACGTAAAGGCTTGAAACCTGGTAATAATAATTATTGGACTCACCTAGACATAGTCAAATTTCCAAAATGATCGGACGACTTTTTTTTTTTTTTGAAATCAAATTTAAATGAAAATCGCAAAAAAAATTACGGCACTTCAAATTATTTATTATCGAACTGCGCTCAGAATCGTCTTTCGTCAAGCAATGGTTTATCGTTGCTAACAGATATAAATGAAATAACCTTATTTATCCTTAAGTATCCTTATGTAACCTAACCTAACCTATCAAGTAATATAACTAATTTAAAATTACTATTTAAAGTAAATATTATAAGTACCAGATAACTAAAACTAAGGCTATAATAAATGATATATACAAATTTTAAGCTTTTTAATATTTTGTATAATAATAATATTTTTACTTATTGTTTGATTTATTTATACGCAAATAATAAATAATAATATAAGGTAAATGGAGGTAA